GGCTGCGGCGCTCGGTGGGGCGGCGGGGTCTCTGCGCGGACCGGAGCAGCCGCGGTCTCCCCGCCGCCCCCGCGGGAGCGGGCCTCTGCGTCCCCACCCCAGTTTGCTCCCCGAGTCCTGCGCTTTTGGGCTGGGAGTCTCCTTCGCCTGGGGTCGCTGCTTTCCTCTGCACTCCCCTTTGGGAGAGCACAGAGCAAAGGAGTCCCGAAAGCCCCTTGCAGGGCGAATCTTGGCTCCGTCGTGATTTCTGGGGCCTCCCCTGCTGCCTGCTGTTGGGCGCTGCAGCCTGTAGTGTCAAGGGGGGCCGATCGTGGGTGTTTCTGGAGACCATGTTTGTGTGCAATCTTGACACGCTGTCTGCGTCGGAGATAGTGAAGTAGGGGTGGGAATTCTGGTGTAGAGCAAGGAGGGCCCCGCCGGGAGGGAGCTGTCCGCGGATACAGAGAAGTGGCTGTCCGTCGACTGGCCCCAAGACACAGTGAGTCTTTCAGGTTCTTTAACCGCCCTAAGACGTGTAGAACAGTAGTGTGGTTTGTTTCTTCAGACGCGTTTTGGAAGTGAAAGAGCTGTCTGTCTCCTCGGAGATGTGCCTTTTAGCGCCCAGCGTCTAATTTATTTTGTGGTTTTTCTCCGGTACCGGGAATCGAACTCACGACCTTGAGCATGCCAGGCAGGCGCTGTGCCGCTGAGCCAAATCCCCAGCTCCTCCAGCGTCTAGTTTAAACTAAGTGCTGCTGGGCGTGGTGGCGCATGCCTGTGATCCCAGCACGCGGGAGGCTGAGGCAGGAGGATCGTTGCGAGTTCGAGGCCAGCCTGCGCTACAGAGTGAGCTCAAGGCCAGCCTGAACTGCATAGTGAGACCCTGTCTCATAAAGACCAAAATAAAGTAAAACAAACAACAAAAAAAGTAAGCGCTAGACAGCCCCGCAAGGGTCCCAACCAACACAAGACCTATTACTGGAGAGCGCGTTTGGTCTTCCTTCTTGCTCTTCCCTCAGCTCCGTAGAATGCCCTCTAGGTAGAACCTAAACACTGTCTTTCTCACTGGTGAAGTGTTTTTCTTGGCCCGATATGATGGTATGGTATACGTTTGTAACCTTAGCTGTTTGAATCAGGAGGATCACAAGTTTGAGGCCAGCCTGGGCAATTTAGCAACTTTGGGTAAGACTGCCACCCCCACCCCACCCCCGCGCCAAAAAAAAAAAAAAAAAGGCTGGGAGCCAGGCATGGTGGCACACAGCTGTAATCCCAGCACTGTGGAAGGCTGAGTCAGGAGGATTGCAGGATTGAGGCCAGCAGGCCGAGGATGTAGCTCAGTGGCGCAGCACCAGCCTGACAAGCGCAAGGTCCTGAGTTCAATTTCTGGTACAAAAAATTGAGGCCAACTTGGGCAGTTTACCAAGACCCTGTCTCAAAAAAGGGGTGGTGCTGCTGGAGTTGTACTCAGTAGTAGAGCAGTTGCCTAGCAAGTGTGAAGCCCTGGGTTTTATATATTTAACTGGATCAGGCATCTTTTAATATTTAGTTTCTGGAAATAGCTAAAATGATGCGTGAAGTTGCTGTGTACAACCCTCATGCCCACTGCTTAGTTCCCGGGTACCTCTGAAGAGTACACTGAAGAGAGTTGTTCGGATTGTATTACAGTGTATCATTTGCTAGTGACATCTTCAGGGTGGAAATGTTAATCAGAATTTATGGGATTTTACTTGAGGAGTAGTTTTGGAATGCCTTGGTTCGATGTGATTTCCAAAATATAGAACCGAAAACTCATTTCAAAGTGACCTATCAGCTGGGTGTGGCGGTGCACGCCTATAATCCCAGCATGTGGGAAGCTGAGGCAGGAGGATCATTGCAAGTTTGAGACCATCCTGGGCTACAAAGTGAGCTCAAGGCCAGCCTGAACTGCATAGCGAGACCCCCTCTCAAAAAAAGAAAAATCAAAATGACCTATTCAGTAAGTAACTATTTCTATTTGTGATGGCAAAACAGAGGCTAGAGACTATGTAAAAGTAGAAATAGGACATGAAATCAGAAAACGCATTTTGCAGAGTATCAAGACTAAGACTGTATCAAGCTTCATATTCAAGTTTACTGAGAATTTTATTGAAAGTTCCCAGTGAGTGTGTGTTTATTTTGATTTGTATAGATTGTGTATTCAGTTTCTCTTCAGTAATTTTCTCATTGTCATCTACAAACCACACTTCCCCTGAAATAGCAAGGCAAGAGTTCCCAAAGTGATGCTCTAAAACACACCTGTTCTGTCACACAGGTCCACCAGCCACCAGAAGTTACTCCAGCTGTTTTTATGTAGGGGAAGCTGAGACATGGTCATCTCACAATCAAGGGAAATAAGTAACTCTGGGAAATATACAGATGTCCATTAGGTGGCTAGAGCAAAGAAAGAATGGTAGCATACTGGTTGCTCACTGTAAAATCCTGTAATTAGCCCTCTGCACTCAAGCTGTGGAATCAGAAGCCTCAACTCAGGCTGCCCTGTGGGGAGTTATTGTTCAGTTACTCAGTGAATATTCATCAAGGGGCTACCTTTTTGGGTGCTGAGGATGTAGCTGTGAACAGCAGCAGATAACTGCTGGCTTTGTGTCCCGTGAAACTACAAATTCCTTAAGTTCAGGAGTTAAACCAAGTAGACAGGTTTATTATGCGATAGTTACCAGAACCTGTTCTGCCTGCCTTACACCCTGCTAATCTCTGGTTGTGGGATTAGGTGTTAACACTGAAAAAGCCTCTGGTCCAGAATTTGAGACAAAGAGAAAAAGTAATTCTGGACCAGAGGCAAGGATCCTCCTGCCTGAGCCTCCTGAGTGCTGGGATTAGGGGCATGCGCCACCACACCCAGCTTGTTTTTGTTCTTAACTCTGGCTTTCCAGTCTCCAGGTTTATAATTCTGTTTTGAACACTTTCCCTCCCTTTTTCAGCCAGAGTAGCTTTTAGCTACATTGATACCATCACTTAGTGTGGTTACATTCAGCTGTTACATTGTTAGAATTCAGTCTTATGGATTGTTACAGTTAAACTTCATGAGAAGAATGTTGAAGGCCTAGTTAAAATGAGTTCCGTACTGGGGAATTCTCAAGATTGCTTCTCATGATCCCCCAGCCCTCAGCGCTGGGGATTGAATATAGAGCCTGTGCGGTGAGTGAAATGTCCAGCTGTTTTTCTTTTAGAAAAAAATATTGAAGCTGGGCATTGCGGTGCATATCTGTAATCCCAGCACTCAGGAGGCTGCGGCAGTAGAATGGTAAGTTTAAGGCCGGTCTGGGCTACAGTGAGTTCAAGCCCAACCTAGACTATATAGTGAGACCGGTTCAAGAAAAATAAATAAAATATACTTTTTTAGGGCTGGGGATTTAGCTTAGCAGCACAGCGCCTGCCTGGTAAGCACAAGGGCCTGAGTTTGATTCCTGGTACCAAAAAAGAAAAAAAACCCTTAAAAAAAACCTTTTTTTGAGACAGGGTCTTACTGTCTTTTGTCTTTTTGAGACTGGATCTCACTATGCAGTTCAGGCTGGCCTTGAGCTAACTTTGTAGCTCAGGCTGGTCTCAAACTCCCAGTGATCCTCTTGCCTCAGCCTCCTGAGTGCTGGGATTACAGGTGTGCACCACCATGCCTGACAAACATTTAAAAAAATTTAAAAATGTAAAATTTAGGCTGGGGGTTTAGCTCAGCGGCACAGCGCCTGCCTGGCAAGCACAAGGTCATGAGTTCAATTCCTGGTACCAGGAAAAAAAACAAAAAAAGTAAAATTTTGAGAAAGGGTCTCACTAAGATGTTAAGTTGCCCACGCTGGGCTCACCCTTAACCCCCTGCCTCCTCCTCCAGAGTGCTGGAATTACACGTGTGCACCACAGCTCCCAGCTGCTCTTTCTGCCCCTTAATACCCACGTATTTATTCCACCGAGCGATCTCTCCACCTCTGTAGACTCATCTGTCTTCCCTCCCTCTTCTCTGATGCTCTTCCCCACTTTCCTTGTTTCTAAATGCCAACTATTCTTTAAGCCATGCTGAGGTTCTAAATCTGCCTTCAGACTTTCCTTGCTTGCTTGTTTCCTTTCTCTCCCTTCTTCCCTTTTCCTTTCTTTCCCCTTCCCATCCTTATTTACTTGTTTATTTATTTTTTGAGATAGGGTCTCACTATGTAGTCCAGGCTGGCCTTAAACTCACTACTTAGCTCAGGCTGGCTTCAATCTTGCCTTGATCTTGCTGCCTCAGCCTCAGACTTGTGCCACCATTCCTGGTTCAGGGCCTGTATTTCTTTGTGGCCAAATTTTGTGCTCTTTTTTTTTTTTTTTTTTTTTGAGACAGGGTCTCACTATGCAGTTCAGTGGCCTTGAGCTCACTTTGTAGCCCAGGCTGGTCTCGAACTTGCAGTGATCCTCCTGCCTCAGCCTCTCGAGAGCTGGGATTACAGGCGTGCACCACCACGCCTGGCATTTTTGTGTGTGTGTATGCTCTTAAAATGGAAATGAGTTTTCTTCATGAAGAAGGGTATGGGGCTGGATAAGGTGATGCAACTTTTCTGAGAGCAGAAGCCATACCCTCTTGCAGAGGCAGGGACAGCTTTGCCCAGGACCTAGCTGCCCTAGCCACTGTGGGACCATTGCAGAAGCTTCCCCTGGGCCTTAGGAAAGACCTCTGTAGTGGTCTTTCCCACCCACATATGTAGATTCTTTTTCCAAGTAGATAGCACATGAGGCCTGGAGAGTGGAAGGGTCAACTGAAAGTGAAAGGTGGGTGAAGCAAGGAGAGAGAGTGGTTTCCGGCAGTAGATGTAGCAGGTGGAGCTGGGCATGGTGGTGCATTGCTTGGTATTTTCACTAAGGTGAATCCTGGGACACTTAAAGTTTAATAGGAATATTATATTTTTATGGCTTTACAAGTAATGATGGAGAACTCATTTATGTGGGAGAGAATTTACTAGATTTAGCAGGGTTTTAATATTTTCTGGTAACTACATCCATGCAATGGGATAAGGGAGAACTATTAAAAAGGAGGGGTGGGAGCAGAGTGTAAAGGTTCATACCTGTAACCCCAGCTCTTTGCGAGGCTGAGGCAGGAGGACTGCAAAGTCGAGTCCATTCTGGACAGCTTAGCAAGACTCTATTTCACATGGACCATGAGAGCGTGTTTGGAGGCTCTTGCAGGGGAGTGCAGCTATCGTAGACCCTTGACGGAGGAAATGCTTCTCTCTGCAGGGTGGTTGTCCTCTTCCACCCAGTGCCCAGCTCCAGCCTGGCATTGAATGGGCTTGCCTGAATGTCCATGCCCTGGGTTCAGTGTGTTCGCTCATGGTTCTGGGTGGGGGCGATCTAAGGCTTGGGCGCTGGCATCTGGCAAAGGTTTCTCTGCTGTGTTATTCCCTGGAGGAAGGGCCAGGAGAGCAGGAGATCACAGCTGCAGCCCAAAGCCCGGTTATAATAGGGGCCAATCGGCGGGTGAGGGTGCTGCCTTCCTGAGGTGAACGCCTCCTGGCCCTGCCAGCCACTGCCCAGCATGGGCATGGGCATTCAGGTTCCAGCACAAGCTTTTCTGGGGACACATTCAAAACCACGGCCGGAATTGAGAGCTCAGTTGTGGACTCTGGAACCAATTTAATCTGTCATGCTAGTCTCAACCTGTTGTAAACACACCTTTGTGCACCAGCAAAGAATTGCATGAATTGCAGTTGAAACAAGAAATGCACTGCTGCATAAGTTAATCCTGCAACTTTTCACCAGCAGTTACACTGTGTGTGTGTGTGTGTGTGTGTGTGTGTAAGTGAGACACTGGGGTGGAACCCACAGACTTCCCACAGAACTACACCTCAACCCTTTTAAAATTATTTGAGGGAATCTTGCCCAAGCTGGTCTTTTCTTTTTTTTTTTTTTTTTTTGGTCTTTTTGAGACAAGGTCTCACCATGCAGTTCAGGCTGGCCTTGAGCTCACTTTGTAGCACAGGCTGGTCTTGAACTTGCAGTGAACCTCCTGACTCAGCCTCCCGAGTTGCTGGGGTTACAGGCGTGTGCCACCATGCCCGGCCTTAGGCTGGTCTTGAATATTCAGTCCTCCTGCGTCAGCTTCCCAGTGCTGGGACTGCCCGCAGCCTGGTTGTCTGTGTTCACTAGAGGCCTGAATAAGGCTTTCCTTTGTTTCTTGGCATTCTGGAGACAGGGTCACTGTAAATTGTGCGACTCTTCTCTGGTAGTATCCATTACTCTTAATTTTCTCCATCTGCTGTGTCTTAGTGCGGCTGAGTGCCAGCCAGGTAATCCAGCAGGGTTGTTAGTTATTGCAAGTGTTATTTTCATAATTCATATGGCTGAATCCGGGAAAGCTTTCCAAATTCCCTTTGGCAGTTATGAAGTGAGATGAATATGTCATATAATTCCTTGGTTTTCTGTTCCAGCACTAGAGCGTTCTTACTGTTTCCCTTCTAGCGCAGTCATGGTTGAAATTAGGAAGATCTGCTGCATCGGTGCGGGCTATGTCGGGGGACCCACCTGCAGTGTCATTGCGCAGATGTGCCCTGAGATCAAGGTGACGGTTGTGGATGTCAATGAGTTAAGAATCAATGCGTGGAATTCTCCTACCCTTCCTATTTATGAGGTAAGTGTCTTAAACAACACTTTGTTCTTGTGCGTTTGTTTTCTTTTTTTTTTTTTTTGTCAGCCTTTTTATTTCTTTTCCTTTATTGGTACATTTTAGATATACATAATGATCACATTCATCATAGGGAATTTGTACCTATACATGATATAACTTGATTCTTTTTTTTCTATTCCACTACCCCCTGCAATCCCTCTTGCCCTCTTTTTTTTTTTTTTTTTTTTTTTTTTTTTTTTTGGTGCTGGGAATTGAACTCATGACCTTGCACTTGCCAAGCAGGCATAAGAAAACTTTTGACAGGCATGTAGACTGTTTCCAAGATTTTGCTATTACGCACTGTGCCGCTTTAAATGTGGGTGTGCATGTATCTCTGTAGTATGATGCTTTTAATTCTTTTGGGAAGATACCAAGAAGGGAAATAGCTGGGTCAAATGGAACCTCTGGTCCTAGTTTTTTGAGGAATCTCCACACTGATTTCCACAGGGGTTACACCAGTCTGTACTCCCACCAACAGTGGAGAAGGGTTCCTTTTTCCCGACAGCCCTTCCAGCATTTGTTATTGGTTGATTTCTTGATGATGGCCATTCTTTCTGGGGTGAGATGAAGTCTCAGCATTGTTTTAATTTGCATCTCTTGAATGACCAGTGATGAACATTTGCTCATATATTTATCTGCTGTTTCTACTTCATCTGAGAAGTGTCTATTCATTTCAGTTGCCCATTTTGGGGTTCTTTAAATTTGGGGGGGTTCTGATAATTTTTAGTTCTCTACATATTATAGGAAGTAATCCTTTGAGGAACAACTGGCAAAATTTTTTTCCCACACTGTGGGTTGTCTCTTCCGTCTGTTGGTGGTTTCTTTTGCTGTGTAAAAGCTTTTTAATAAGATGAGATTCCATTGGGCCAGGGATACAGCTCAGTGGCACATGCGCCTGGCTGGCAGGCACAAGGTCTTGAGTTCGATTCTCATAACAAAAAAATGACATTCCAGTTGATTCTTTGTGATAGTTTTTGTGAAATCAGGGTTTTGTTCATAAATTCTTTGCCTACACCAGTGTCTCAAGAGTTCCACCGATTTTTTTCTACCAGTAGGTTTAATGTTTCTGTTTTAATCTTTGATCTGTTTAAATTTAAGTGTAGTGCATGGTGAAAGATATGGCTATAGTTTTATTTATATTTATTTATTTATTTAGTCTTTTGAGGCAGGGTGTCGCTATGTGGTTCAGGCTGGCCTTGAGCTCACTTTGTAGCCCAGGCTGGTCTTGAACTCAATGATCCTGCCTCAGCCTCCAGAGTGCTGGGATTACAGATGTGCGCCACTACACCTGGCTTGGATTGTTCTCTTTACCAAAATGTAGTGACCTTCTTTGTCTCTCTTGGCTTGAAATCCACTTTGTGGATTTCAAATAGAATAGCTGCCCCTGCTTTTTTCCAGGTTCCTGTGACTTTCAGTCAAAAGAGAGAAAAAGACAGAGACAGAGAGACAGAGAAAGAAAGATGTTAAACTTCTATTACTTTTTGACATTTTTTTTTATGTTTTTTTTTTTTTTTTTTTTTTTTTAAGACATGGTCCTGTATGTAGCCCAGGTTGGCCTTAAACTCACAGCAGTTCTCCTGCTTCAGCCTCCCAATTGCTGGGATTACAGGCATGTGCCGCCATGCCCAGCCTTCAACAAGAGTTTCTTACAATAAGACTGACATATGTATGTGTAGATAAAGTATTGGCTTTCACAGCCAGTGTGTGGCCTGGATTGAGAGTGAAACTGTGTATTCATAATGACAGTGCAAAATGTGTTTACTTAAAGTCAGAGGGCCTAGAGGTTTTGAAAGTGAGTTGATAAGAGTTAATAGCTAACTTTTATGAAACAATCAGGTGCACAGTAAGCCGTGATGAAGTGTTTTAGGGCTACTGTGGTTGTACAAGCTCAAGTTTGCTTTATTTTGTGATGACATAGAATATGCACTTGAGGCGTTTTGTGTAGGATCTTTGTCTTTTTTACTTTTTTTTTTCCTTTGGTCTTTTTGAAACAGGGTCTTGCTGTACAGTTCGGGCTGGCCTTGCGCTCACTTTGTAGCCCGGGCTGGTCTCAAACTTGCAACAATCCTCCTTCCTCAGCCTCCTGAGTGCTGGGATTACAGGCGTGTGCCACCACGCCAGGCTTGTCTTTTCTATAAAGGGCTTATTTAGAGGAAATCTAGATCTTTAAATTACAACATAACCTTTCCTTTTAATAAATGCTGTACCATTAGTTCATATTCTGTGTATAACTCCTTTTTTGGTTTTTCTCTCTAGCCAGGACTAAAAGAAGTAGTAGAATCCTGTCGAGGAAAAAACCTATTTTTTTCCACCAATATTGACGATGCCATCAAAGAAGCTGATCTGGTATTTATTTCTGTAAGTATTTTACTTTGCTGGATGAATTATATTATCTAAGTATATTATGTCTTCTTTGTACTTTAACTTGCTATTAAACCACACTGTGGCTTAGTACAGCGATGTCCAATTTAGTTTTGACTGTCGCTTTGTCCAGCAGCTGGGCAAACCCTGTAGTCACCTGGTCAGATACATAATTTCAAGTCCCTGAGCAAGTAGACTCAGAGCAAGCTGTGGCCTGGGCGCCAGGACTAGGAAGTGGTGACATGAGCACACGTGGTGGTAGTGTGTACAGTGCTACCTCGGTTCATGCACTAAATTCTTCCCACGAATCTGGTCACAAACTGAATTGGACGAGGACTGAATCAAATTCATTGGTTAGGTTCAGTGTTGGCCTTCTGGGGAAATTTGGTTCAGTTTTTTTGTTTGTTTTGGTCTTTTTGAGACAAGGTCTCCCTATGCAGTTCAGGCTGGCCCAGAGCTCACTTTGTAGTGCAGGCCAGTCTTGAACTTGCTATAGTCCTCCTGCCTCAGCCTCCCAAGTGCTGGGATTACAGACACCGGCTGGTTCAGTTCTTAAAATGAGGTATGTTTCAAAAGTCATAGCCTTTCGAGGTGCATATACCTATAATCCCAGCACTAAGGAGGCTGAGGCGGGAAGATCCTTGCAAGTTGGAAGCCAGCCCGGGCTACATAATGAGTTCAAGGCCAGCCTGAACTACACAGGGAGAGCTTGTCTCAAAACAAACAAACAAACAAATAAAAAACACATTAAGCAACTTTTTCTACCAGCTTTTCACGCCTCAAGTTTTCAAGCTTTGGTTTATTTTGTTTGGTTCCTTTCTTTAGTTTCCTCACAGCTCATAAACTTACAAAGAAGAGAGTTCATGCTGCTTACTGCTTGTTCAGAACTGATTCCTGTTTTCAGAAGTCTTAAGTTTTAGATTTTTTGGAGCACTCATTTTTGTCAGCAGTATAGCACTCCTGTGTTTTTATTTTTTTCTTAAAATTTTTAAAATTTTTATTTTTTTTCTGGTACCGGGGATTGAACTCACAACTTCACATTTGCTGGGCAGGCGCTGTGCTGCTGAGCTAAATCCCCAGCCCCTACTCCTGTGTTAGTTTTTAGAGAGTGTGTTATCCTCATTTTCTGATGAGGTCATGGGGCAGAGGCAGTCATGCTTCCTCAGGGTGATACAACCTTGAAGCCCAGACTGAATGCTTAGACTCTTGGCTATGATTTGTTTTTAATGAAGCCCCAAAGCATCTGTGAATGATACTATGGACATTTTTTTAGATGCTGATATGAGGTTGCAAAAGCAGGGAGTAAAGAAAGAGTTTAAGCCAGGTATGATGGTGTAGTCTCAGCACTTGGGAGGCTGAGGCAGGAAGATCGCCCTGGGTTTGAGGCCAGCCTGAACTACATAGTGAGACCCTGTCTCAAAAAAAAAGAAAAAAAGGAGACGAACTTAACATTTATTTTTAAAGGCCATAATACATTATATCCAATAAATAAAAGAAAGAAAAGAAAACTTTCATTTCAGACTATGAGCTCCTTTAGAGGAGCCCTCGTTTGTTTATATCTCCAGGGCTCAGCTTGGAACCTGCCTGCCGTGGTGCCTGGCACATATGTAGTAGCTTCTTAGTGAAACGTTCTTGACTGCGTTCCTCAGCTGGGTCAGGCTGTTTGTCCTGGTGGTTCTGTTTGTCAAGTGTGTCTTTCCGTGGAAGTGAGGGTGAGATGCGGGGCTCTTCCGTTCCATGTGACGGGGTGGCGAACGCTTCACACACACCGTGCTCCCCGCAGGTGAACACGCCGACCAAAACCTACGGCATGGGCAAAGGCCGGGCCGCGGACCTCAAGTACATTGAAGCCTGTGCCAGACGCATCGTGCAGAACTCCAACGGGTACAAGATCGTGACCGAGAAGAGCACAGTTCCCGTGCGGGCGGCAGAAAGTATCCGTCGCATCTTTGATGCGAACACAAAACCCAACTTGAATTTGCAGGTATGAAAATAGGAGGCGTTAGAATCCAGCTCTGGTTATGTAACCGTTGGCGTCTTGGTTCACTCAGCATCACTTTCCTTGCACTGGGGCTCCAGGTGCTGTCCAACCCCGAGTTCTTGGCTGAGGGCACGGCCATCAAGGACCTGAAGAACCCGGACCGCGTGCTCATTGGAGGCGACGAGACGCCGGAGGGCCAGAAGGCCGTGCGGGCCCTGTGCGCCGTGTACGAGCACTGGGTGCCCAAGGAGAAGATCTTCACCACCAATACGTGGTCGTCGGAGCTTTCCAAACTGGTGAGTCCGTAGTTCCGCCCCTCCGGGACGTGTGGTGGTGCTTGAGACAGGGTCTCACTGTGTTGCCCAGGCTGGCTTTGAACTCCAGGGCACAAGTATCTTTTTGTCTCAGCCTCCCAGGCGGTGAGGCTACTGGTGTGGGAAGGAGTCATCATGCCCTGCATGCTCTCCACTAAATTTACAGCCAGGTGTTTCTCCTAAGTCTTATAAATATAGTTTTTTGTTTTGTGTCACTGGGGATTGAACCCAGAACCTTTTTTTTTTTTTTTTTTGAGACAAGGTCTCACTATGTAGTCCAGGCTGGTCTCAAACTCACAATGATCCTCCTACCTCAGCCTCCCAAGTGCTGGGATTACAGGTGTGCACCACCACACCCGGCTCGAACCCAGAACCTTTGCACAGAACTATATCCCAGTCTTAATTTTTATTTTGAGACAGTCTTTCTAAATTGCCAGGTTAGACTCAAAATTGTCTTTTTGTTTTGTTATTTTGTTTTTTGAGACAGAGGCTCACTGTAGTCCTGGTTGTCCTTGAACTCACAGTGATCCCCCTGCCTCAGCCTCCCAGATACTAGAATTACAGATGTGCACCACCAGGTCCATCATCATAATTTTTTTTTGGTACTGGGAATCAAACTGAGGACCTTGTGCTTGCTAGGCAGATGCTTGTGCCGTTGAGCTGTATCCCTGGCCTATTATCATAATTTTGTCTTCTGTCACCCTTTCTCTGCCTTTAACCTCCTCTTAGTCATCTATCTTCCTAATTTTTTTTTTTTTGGAGACAGGGTCTCACTGTATAGTTCAGGCTGGCCTTGATTTCTCCATGTATCCCAGGCTGGCCTTGAACTCAGGGCGATCCTCTTTGCCTCAGCCTCCTGAGTGTCACTACACCCGGCTATCTTCCTAATTTAAAATATACTGCCTTGCCAGAGCATACACTTTCTCTGTCCGTATTTTTATTGTATCTCCTCAGTAATGTGCACAAAATTGCTCTTTCAGTTCTTCATACTTCTCCCCATTTTTTTAAAGGCAGCAAATGCTTTTCTGGCCCAGAGGATCAGCAGCATTAACTCCATAAGTGCCCTGTGTGAAGCAACCGGAGCGGATGTGGAAGAGGTAGCAACAGCCATCGGAATGGACCAGAGAATCGGAAATAAGTTCCTGAAAGCCAGTGTTGGTAAGTAGATGCCCTCTCTGTGAAGTGGCTTCATGCAGTTCGGTCCCTGACTTTTAAGAAGTCTTCTTTTCACTCATCCTTAAGAAAACAAAAACAGGAAAGATTGTTCCCCACATCCTTGTCCTAGCAGACCGAAGTGAGGCGATAATCCACCCGTCGTGAGTGGGGGCCAGTGGATCAGTACGTTGGTGTAGCTCTGTGCTTCAGAGGAAAGCTGTGTTTTCACTGTTAGTGCCATAAGCATCGTTCAGTGCTTTGGGAAACTAGGAAATAACAAGTTAACAATTGTCAAGTTAACAATTTGTTTAAGCAAGTAGGAAATAAACTTCCTAGTGTTTTTCCTAATTATGTTATTGGTGAAACACAGTCAGGTAACCCTCATGTTTGTGGGTTTGCCTCCCTGCTAAGACATCTGACCCTGCGAGGTCAGTGCCCCCAGCGCCGCTGTGGTTCTCCGGCAAGCAGAGCAGAGCGCGGCCGCTCTGCCTGGTGCCCCAGCTCCCGTGCTGTCTCCAAGGGGCCCTCCTGGGATGCGTTAGTGCTGTGTTTTCCCCACTTGCCTGCTTTGGGGCACGGACTTTTCCGTTTAAAATGGCCCCAAGCTGAGAGCCGAAGTGCGAGAAGACCACAGCCCTCGTCTCCTGGGGAAAATCCACCTCTAAGAAGAGCTTCATGCAGCTGTGAGTTACAGAACTCCTGGCCACAGCTTCCATATTCGTGAAGCAGTAATTACTCTGAATTGAATTTTAAGGAAAAGCTCACAGGAAGCACAGTTCATCTCTTGACCATAATATGAGCAGAAACTTGCAGGAACCGAACCATGTTTTGCTTGGGAGCAAGGCTTCCTTCCATATTTGTGGATTCCGTGTTTGGATGACTTACGGAGCACAGCTTCCGCACCTCGTGAGAGCCAACTGTGGGTTTGGATATAAGTTAATACAGTGGTGTAATAGTCAATAGAACATTTTGCAGATGGGTCCATACGCAGACTTTCTAGTGTTCTAGAGCTGTTTCATTTCCCAGTACTGGGTTCCCGGACCTTTTATAGCCTGTTTTTGACGTTTTCTTCTAGTTATACTTCAACAAAAATAGCTGTTTACTGAAGTCATACTATGCATCAGATTGTATACCAGCACTTTACATATCTCATTTTCTCTTTAACCTGATAGGGAAGTGCTATTATATCCTTATTTAAAGGTGATTGAAATATTTACTCTATGGCCCTTTGCTATAAAAATTTGCTAAAAGAGTAAATAAAATCTGAAAGGTACAATAGATTTGTGAAAGGAAAAGAAACTGCTCAAAGAGGAAATAACTGGGATGAGGGAATGGAGAAAAAGAAGGAAGGGAAAAAAATGTGTATACACAAGATAAGATACACAAGATTAGTAATTGTATTACTAATTTCTATTGGTTTATTGAAAGGAACAGTTAATGCTTGAATTTTTTTTGACCAATTTTGCATGCTTATATCTGGCAATCTGAACAACTGCTTTGAAGATAACAGTATGCAATATAACAACCATTGTTGAATTCATATTTTTTGAAATTCTGTATCAGAATTTCAAATTCTGTATCAGTTTTTTGAAATTCTGTATCATTTCTAATATTTTTTTATTCTCTTTAAAATAAAAGAAAAAGAAACTGGTGAGGAAGAGGTCAAAAAAATCTGTATAACCTGCAGTAGAGTAAGAGATGTAGGGCACTCATACCAAAGAATGATTAAAAAAATAGATAAAACAGCCAGGTGTTGGGGTGCATGCCCATAATTCCAGCACTCGGGAGGCTGAGGCAGGTGGATAACCATGAGTTTGAGGTCAGCCTGGGCTACAGTAGTGAGTTCAAGGCCAGCCTGAATTACATGGTGAGACTCTGTCTCAAAAAAGAAAACAGAAGTCAAAGTACAGGCATAATAAAACTTGTTAAAGAATCATTCTGAAATCACTTAGAGAGTTATTAGTTAGCTATAAATTTGACATAATTTTTAAACCCACTAACTTTCTAATGAGTTTTATTTATTAATTCGTATCATTTTGTTTTGAGGTCATGTATCGTTTTTGTTTCTGTATTTTGATTTTGTCTTTTTTGTTATTTTTTTTAATTTTAAAAAAAAATCAGTATAGACTCCCAGATATACATGTGTAAAACTTGTCACATGATTTGATTTCTGGTTCTTATATGAAAATACCGTCTTTCTTCCCCCAGGTTTTGGTGGGAGCTGCTTCCAGAAAGATGTTCTGAATTTGGTTTACCTCTGTGAGGCCCTGAATTTGCCTGAAGTAGCTCGTTACTGGCAGCAGGTATTACTCTTTCTAGTCAATCACTGCTAATTAGATTGTAATTAACACCTGTCACTTGGGTGAAATGTTTCTGAAGGAATTCATTCTAGGAGCTCAGTTTACTTTTTTTTTTTTTTTTTTTTTTTTGGTTTTTCTCCTGTACCGGGAACCGAACTCACGACCTTGTGCTTGCCAGGCAGGTGCTTTGCCGCTGAGCTAAATCCCCAGCCCCCTAGGAGCTCAGTTTACTTGTTTTAGGTTTATTATTATTGGGCTTCTGTGCTTTTAGATTTTTTTTGCTGATCAACTGGAGTGGAAATTTCTGAAACTAGTATTTCTTCTAGTTTTATAACTAAATTTGTTCCCTGTGTAAATCAAGAGCTAATATTATTATTCTCACTTATAATTCTTTATCCTGAAAGGTGTAAAATCAAGAAGAGCCTATACTGTAATCTTTCAGGTGGTCTGCATCTGTTAGTACGTACTCTGTCCCTGTCAGATTCTCAGAGCTAAAATGAAAAACCTTCTCAAAAGGGAAGCATGGAATGAACATGGTTTGAACACGTGCCTTCTCCCATTAATTCTTTGGGGCACTTGATACAAAGTCTCACTTTGCCCTCATCACTAACCTTATCCCATTTATGTATATATGGGTGGATGGATGGATGGATTTTTTTTTTTTTTTGAGCGAGCCTTGCCATGTCATTTCAGGCTGACCTTGAACTCACCATATAGCCCAGGCTGGCCTGGAACTAGTGGCAATCCTCCTGCCTCAGCCTCCCAAGTGCTGGGATTACAGGCGTGCGCCACCACATCCGGCTTTTTTTTTTTTTTTTTTCCTGCACGTTCATCCTTTACAGAGTGAAGAGTGCTGGTCAGAGTCGCTCTCAGTTAAAGCCCTTGCCGAATACTGAAATCTTTGGTGTTCCGGCTCGTGCAGGCGCGGCTGTGACCCAGTTGTTGGGCTGTTACCTGAGCGCTTTCTCCTTAGACCCTCGTTAGTCCCCGTTTGCGGGCACTGTGGGCCCGGGCATCATGGGCCGCTGGCGCGTGCGCGCCGCGTGTCCTCGCTCTTCCCCGCTGGCTTCCTCTGCGCTGGACTTGGTGGCTGGGCAGTGGAGGCAGATGGGAGCACCCTGAGCCCTGGTGCTGACAGCGTCTGTCCCGGGCTCCGGGACGTCGGCTGTGGGCCGTGCTGTCTCCCCCGGCCTCGCTTAGCTGGCTCCATCGCCCGGTCCGAGTGAAGCTCGGCTGCGCGCCCCGTCCTTGCATCCACCGCAGACCAGTGCGCGCAGACCAAGCGCGTGAAAATGCGGATGAGCGGGAGGGCTGGAGGGAAGGACACGCGCGGTTCTCCCGGCTTTTATTTAAACTCTGAGTCATGCGAGGCAGAGGCGGCGTGTCTGTTAACGAGACGCGTGGGTTCCAGGTCATAGACATGAACGACTACCAGAGGAGGAGGTTTGCGTCCCGCATCATTGACAGCCTGTTCAACACCGTCACCGACAAGAAGATCGCGATTCTGGGCTTCGCCTTCAAAAAGGACACTGGCGATACGAGGTATCAGTTCTTTGAAGTGTTTCACCCTCTTGTGATCCTGACCTCTGCATGTGGATGTGTCTGTGTGTACAGTGTAAGGAGTAAACAGTAAGACGGCCGCGTTCGCACTACCCGCTTAACAGCCTCTTCCCTGAGTCCTTGGTCCGTGTTTGGCCGTAAGGGCGTTACAAGCCGCGCTGCTTTGTGTTTGCAGAGAATCCTCCAGCATCTACATCAGCAAGTATCTGATGGACGAAGGTGCACACCTGCACATATATGACCCGAAGGTGCCCAGGGAACAGATAGTCGTGGATCTTTCTCATCCGGGGGTTTCACAGGATGACCAAGGTAAGGCTTTGAGTCTCACGAATCATCTTACACACCCCACAACCTGTTCTCCAGAAACCGCTGACTGTAACATTTTTATCCTGTTTGATGTTCTCTCTCTCCAACCTCAGTTCTCTGAAGTTAAACTCCAGCATTGTCTCCTTAGCCCTGAAGCGCTCGGCTGAGGGCCGGGCGGGTGAAAGTTTCTGACTCCTTTCTTGTTTCTGGCTTTTTGGTGTAGTGTCCCGACTTGTGACCATTTCCAAGGATCCCTACGACGCGTGTGACGGGGCCCACGCTGTGGTGATTTGCACTGAGTGGGACATGTTTAAGGTGAGGCGACAGCGGTGTTAGCCAGGAGGATGCTAGAGGCCGGGGTGTGTGCGCGTGCACACAGGAGTGTGTGCTGTCCTCTCATCGCCCCTGCGTGTGTCTTCACAGGAGCTGGACTACGAACGCATCCATAAAAAGATGCTCAAGCCAGCCTTTATCTTCGACGGGCGCCGCGTCCTGGATGAGCTCCATAGCGAGCTGCAGACCATTGGATTCCAGGTGCTCATGATTCTGAACTCTCACGTTTGGTCGTTTTCTTTTTCAACCCATTGTGTGGGTTTTAGAATTCTCCTATTTTCTCACTTAGCAATAAGGTCACTGTGGGACACCATGTCAGTTCTCTGGGAAGTGTCTGTGATTTGTGTAATTCCATTGCCTCTTAAGTTTTGTTTTTTGTTTTTTGTTTTTTGTTTTTTTTTTGAATGAGAGGGTCTCACTATGTAGCACAGGCTGGCCTTGAACTTGGGGTGATCCCCCTGCCTCAGCCTCTCAAGTGCTGAGATTACACGTGTGCTACCAGACCCAGCCCCTCCTAAGTTTTTTTTTTTTTCTTTTTGAGACAGGGTCTCACTTTGCAGTCCAGGCTGGCCTTGAGCTCACTTTGTAGCCCAGGCTGGTCTTGAACTCGCAACGATCCTCTTGCCTCAGCCTTCATGCCTGGCGCCCCTCCTAAGTTTGTGATACAAAGTTTAGTGTTGGTCTCCCTTACATGGCCTCTACAAGCATGTCTTAAGGAGACCCCCACCTTACCTCTATGAGATGATCAAGTAGAAAGTCCTTGAATGTATTTCCAAACTGTAAGATGCACCTGGTGATCACACAGTACCACTTCTGTGTTCATTACTATTCGAGCTGGCCGGTGTCCCTGTAGTCTTCCCTTAGTACCTGGACAGGAGGACTGCAGGTTGGCCACCCTGTGCATTTAGCAAGACCCTGTCCTAAAATTTTAAAAAGCAGGCTAGGGTTGTAGCTCAGCAGTCCCTGAGTTTAGTCTTCGTACTACAGACACCAGAACCCCCACCAGACCTTAACTACTCACCAGTCTATTGACGTCCTTCGTACTTGGAACGCAGTGCCCATTTCTCATCTGTGAGTCACAGCGGGAGCCAGATGACGTCCTTGTCTGTTCACTCATCCCTCAAGGGCCTCGGAGATCCCTCTGCCCCACCCAGCATGACTTTTCTCCCAGTTGTGACTTACACTCGGGAATGTTTATGTATTTATTTATTGTTTTTGAGGCAGGGTCTCATTGTGTGCAGGCTGGCCTTGAGATTGCTTATGTATCCCCAAGCTGGCCTTGAACTCAGCGATCCTCCTGCCTCAGCCTCCTGATTTTTAATATATGAAAAAATGTAATATACAATATAAAAATCTACTGTTATTTGTTGAAGCCTGGCTTATTGTATGCTAAGCACTGTAATATAATTCTTGGTCTAACTTTTTGAGGCAGGTGAGAAAGCCCTAGAGAATTCAGGTAACAGAGGAAGTTTCTGTCCAGAGTCCAGCTGGGGCCTTTCAGGCTCTGAAACTGGCACTGTTAAGAACTGTGCTATTACGACTTCTGCAACTTTTTCCTCATCTTTTTTTTTTAGACAGGGTCTAGCCATATAATCCAGGCTGGAATGTGCCACCACACCTGGGTGTTTTTCTGTCATTCCTTCTGTTTTGTTTTGTCTTTGTTGTTGTTTTTTGAGACAGTGTCTTGCTATATAGTTCAGACTGGCTGTGAACTCAAGGCAATACCCCTGCCTTAGCCTCATGAGTGCTGGGAACCTTCTGTCGTTCTTTATCTTTTTGAGACAGGGTCTCACTATGCAGTTGAGGCTGGCCTTGAGCTCACTTCGTAGCCCAGGCTGGCCTTGAATCCATGGTGATCTTCCTGCCTCAGCTGCCCAAGCCCTGGGATTACAGGTGGATTCCTCCACACCCTGCTTTTCCTTTTTTTTTTAAGAGGTGAGGTTTATTTTAGCTCAGTTTCAGAGGTTTTAATCCATGGCCAACCAACCTGCCAGTTTTAGTGTAAGGACACTGGAAATGAGAATGGCGCGAGCGGCAGCGGAGCTCCGGGCACCGCCCTTACACGGCTTTGCGGCTCTGCGCGGAGAACCTCACGCGGTGGAGTTGTCCTCCCACCATGTGGGGCTTATTGGAGAGAGGCAGAGACGGTGTCTGGACATGAACGTGGGCCTAGAGACAGAAATAAAGGAGCCCAGGAGCTCTCGTAGGAGCTCCAAACCTGAGCGACTTTTTCTCGAGAGCCCAACTTGCTGCACTGCGGTGTAGTCGGCACACTGTGTGTTGCAATCATTAATAGTTCTCATTCATTTTTTTTTCCCCTCCAGATTGAAACCATTGGCAAGAAGGTCTCTTCCAAGGGAATTCCGTACGCTGCTTCTGGTGAGATTCCGAAGTTCAGCCTTCAGGACCCGCCCAACAAGAAGGCCAAAGTGTAGACAGCAGGGTTTTATTTATGGCTGCTTTGCTACTTCAGCAGAGCAGATTCTGATATGAAATTGGTAAATGAACCAAGTTGTTTTTAAGGAAACAATTATTTTTTTAATCATCGAGTTTATACCAGCTATATGTCTATTAGCGTATCTGAGAATTATGAATCTAGAATATTTTTACACATTTTTATATAATTAGCTCAGTTATTAGGTGGATACAAAATGTTAGTTTTAATCATGTCAATTTTTTTGTAAAATAAAAATGAAACTTAAAAACACTTGTAATGTTATGTTATTAAGGGAAAGGCATTTTGGTTTTCTTTATTACCGGTTTATTTTCTTATTAAGTGTGTATTTGGAAGCCATGACATTACCATGCCAAGGGCCTTTCTAAGTGTGGTCTGGTTAAAGTTCTCTGTTCCCCTCATTTTAATGCAGTGTGCCATTGATTTTTTTTTTTTAGCCCAAAAAGATGATCGCTGTGCATTTCCAATCACTCTAACTTCACGGGTGCTCCCTTTTTGAAAAAATATTTAGCTGGGTGTGGTATCACACACCTGTAACCCTAGCACTTGGAAGGCTGAGGCAGGATTGTCGTGAGTTCAAGAGCAGCCTGGGCTACATAGCAAGACCCTGTCTCAAAAAAATTTTCACACAAAGAGAACAGTATGGTCTGCTTTGCTATTTCATAGCTTTCCTCATCAGTTATTACTTGTGTGTGTGTGTGTCTTTTTGAGACAGGGTCTCACTACACAGTGAGAATTTGTGTGTGTTCCCTTCTGCTCTTTCCTTAGTCTCTGGTTCTCTCTCATATGCAGTGGTGGTATTGGCTCATGGTTGGTCACTGTCGAATGTGGCCACTGTCCTTCGGCGCTCGGTTCTGCCGGGTGGACAGCCTTCTTTACACAGAGAGGGGCCTCACCAGTGAGGGATGCTGCAGCTCAGTAAGGACAGGGAGTCAGCTATAAAGACGAGCCAGGGACATCTGTATAGATAGCAACGACATAAACCCACGTCGTGTCCAGCAGCTGTGTGCGTGCTGTCTTGTCACGGTGAAAATCACTAGTGAGTCAGGGTGCTCTAATGGGCCGGAAGAAAGAACTGCGCTTGCTCAGAGAAAAAAGGCTTTGTGTCATTCTTTCACATGATCAAGAAAGGAAGAGTTTAAATTCAGCAAGTAGCCAGGCCTTCATGACTGCTGTCCATGGGCTGGGTCTGGCCAGACACACGGGAGCTGAGAGTGGTTTTGATCTCGCATGTTACATTTCAGATGGTTACCAAATCCCTACACAGTACCCTCACTTTAGCCTCTATGCCTAAAAGGCATAAAATGTTTGCTATGTGGACCTTTAAGAAAAACTTTGCAGGTTGTTGAGACAAACATCAGAGGAGTTTGAGAACCATAAGATGATGGATTGATTTTGTTTTGTTTTTTTTGTCCTTTTTGAGACAGTGTCTCACTATGCAGTTCAGCTGGCCTTGAGCTCACTTTGTAGCCCAGGCTGGCCTTGAACTTGCAACAACTCTCCTGCCTCAGCCTCCTGAATGCTTGGATTACAGGTGTGCGCCACCATGCCCGGCTTGATTTGAGTTTTTTGGAGGCAGGGTCTTGCTATACAGTCCAGGCTGGCCTTGAACTCACAATGATCCTCCTGCCTCAGCCTCCTGAGTGTGTGCCACAGGTGTATGCCATCATACCCAATCAGGAGCATGATTTTTTTAAAGTCTGTTTGCTAGCGACTGTTTTGAGGGTGGGGGTTGGGAGTGATGGTTGTCCATGAGATTAACTAGTATTAAAAGTGAAAGTACATGGACATGGTAACGACATTCAAATCGATTTTTCAAAATACACTGTCAGCTGGGTATGGCGGTGACTCTTGTACAACAAAAATGAAACCTCTGTCCCATAATTGGTTCTGTGGAAATCACTTATTATTCCACCTAAGTCTGGTAGCTTTCAGTCCTGGCTCCACACCCTCCTGGCCTGTGATAACGTGGCTAAATCATGTGACAGCTTTGTTCTCCCCGTCTGTCAATGGAGGTGACCTAGTGCAGAGGTGGCAGGAGGGTGGTGCGAGAGCCCTGTTTACACAAGAGTTAGGGCCGTGGCTGGTGGGAAGCGCGCCCGTTAGGTGCCCTAACAAGCTGGGCCCACTGCCCCAGAGCCCTGAACAGGCTCTGGGATTGGGAACCCAGGGCCTCGACACGGCACTATACCGGGCCCTTAATTTATCTGAGACCAAGTTTCACCGTTTCACCACATGCTGCTTGAGCAACATGGGCTGGGACTTGTGATCCTCCTGTCTCAGCCTCCCAGAGTGCTAGGGTTATAGGCACGTGCACCCCCACACCCTGCTCACTCCATGTAAACACTGGCCAGTGTGTACACCTACGCTCGGTAGGTGCGTTTTCTTATCAGTTCTTTACACAAGCCCTTTGAGGTAAGTTCCTATTTTTCAGATGAAGAGCAGAAGGCCAAAACTGTTGTAAGTAGCTTGCTTGGGGTCACACAGTAATACATGGCAGAACTAGATTCAGGCTTTCACCCCAGCTGGCCAAGCGTGGTAGCGTATACCTGTCATCCCTGGACTTGGGAGGCTAAGGCAAGGAGGATTGCTGCAAGTTTGAGGTCAGTCTCGTGACACAGTGAATTCAAGGGCAGCCTGAACTGCATAGCAAGACCCTATTTCAAAAAAAACAATATCTAAAGTTTATTCAGATTTTACCAATTGTCCCAGGTATGTCCTTGATAGCCCAAACCCAAATCCCAGGCGTGCTGGCACTGCCCTGTAATCCCAGCACTCACGACAGGCTGGGCTGAGTCTGAAGCCGGCCTGGGCTCCGTGTGAGACCCTGTCTTAAAACACCAACAGGAAGTCATAGAGGGCGCGTCCCTGTCAGCAGGTGGGCAGGGGCAGCCCTGTTTCCAGGTTATTTGTCCCGATCTATGAACCTGTCTGGACAAGTGGTGAATGTGACAGATTACTGTTTATCTTGGGGCAGAAATAAGAAGAATGAGAAGTGCTCAGGGAGGAAAAGGTGCTTTGGATAAGAAGCGACGCCCTGCACGCAGAAGGGTCCCTGCAGGAACCGGAGGGCAGCGGCGCAGTCGGCTGCTGCCGTCCTTGTGTCTTCTCTGAAGCTTGACCCAGGCGGTCCCCCGAGCTCGTGCTAGCAGACTGGCATCAGCGCGGGCTCGGTGTGTCATGTGGGGACTAGCACCAGGTGCGGGGCTGGCGTGTCCGTGCCAGGCTCGGGTGCTGCCGCGCCGTGCGCGTGGTTGCGCGTGGTTCCCGTCTCACTCCGGCCACGTTGCCGGGCCTCGGCTCCTACAGTACGACTCTATTCTCTCTTGGTCATTTTTCTCTCATAATTCTAGAACATAAAGTGTGCACACGTGTGCACACCCATACACAGACACACGGACACACACACATATTGAACATTGAGCGTTGGCACTTTCACCAGCTGCAGGCCGGTTGTCTTGTCGAATGTCCCACGGCAGGGGCTCGCCTGACGACCGCTCGGGATCTGCCGCAGTTGCTGTCAGTCAGTGCACGTTTCCAGCAGGGACCCGCAGGAGCGTACCTGTCACGGGGCGAGGCCAGGGCCCCTTCACTGCGAGTGCTACCTCACCACTGAGTGCAGTGTCCGGCGGGTCACCCTGCTGGGGAGTTACTTTCCCCTTCATAATTGCGTGTCTGCGGGGAAGAACTGTTACTCTTCAAATACTCCGCCAGGCCGTGTGGTGCTCGCCTGTAATCCCAGCACTCGGAAGGCTGAGGCTGGAGGATCACCAAGAGTTGTAAGGCTAGCCTGGGCTACGTAAGCAAGTTCACGGCCCGCCTGCACCACGTAGTGAGACCCTGCTTGCCTCAAAAAAGAAACAAAAGGAAAAGGACACACTTTCACCCCCTGGTTTTAGCTTCTACAGATGATTCCGACCTGAATGAATTGCTAGGGCAACAGTCAATCTGCGACCAACTGCCCCCAGCTTAGCTAATCTTAGCTAAGGTACTGATGTGGTGGAGTGCTCCCCGAGTGTGCACAAGCTTCTGGGGTGATCCCCAGCACTGCGGTACACGTGCTGGACTCTAAGGCAGATGCAGTGAGGTGCTAAGGAACAGCGGTCAGGTCAGGTATGGTGGCACATGCCTGTAATCTCAGCATTCTGGGAAGCTGAGGCAGGAGGATCCCAGTTCAAGCCCAGCCTGAGCAATTTAGCAATTTCCCAAGACCCTGTCTCAACATGAAATGTGCTAGGGATGCTGTTTGCTGAAAAGGCCTGGGTTCAATCCTCGGGGCAGGTGAGAGCCTCTTGAAGCGAGGTGCGTACACCCAGGACCATCCGTGTAGGAAGCCAACCACATGATGAGAACAAAGATGCTATGTGGACCCGAGGCGAGGAGACCACGAGGCCTCGCCGGCATCTGAGGTTACAGACATCTTGGCGGATCGGGGAAGGAGGGCAGGGGTGGGATCCCGGCCGGATCAGGAGTGTGCGGAAGAGTGGCGAGGACCCGGGGGACAGCCGAGAAAGGCTTGGATTTGGGGCATCACGGAGATGTCAAATGGAGACACCGATGGCCGCACAGGTTCTGAACGCACCTGACGCTCCTGAGTCGTACACTTGAAGCAGTAAACTTTTCCGCAGTACTCAGGGTGGAGCCCGGGGCTCACGTGCTAGGCAAGCGCTCTGCACTCAGCTACATCTGTCTCTGCTTTAAAGCATTGGTCATGCTGGGCACCGTGGTGGCCCATGCCTGTAATCCTAGCACTTAGGAGGCTGAGGCAGGAGGATTGCTGTGAATTTGAGGCCAGCCTGAACCGCACTGCATGAATCCATCCCCAAAACAAAACATTTAAAACAGCCCTGCTTTTGTTAGTCACAGCAGAGTCAGCCTCGCTTTGCAGGCTGCGCAGCCAGAAACTGGGTAACATTACACGAAGCACAGTGATCACCTGTGAGGCCAGAAGCCTGGGAAGAACGGCACCCATGCCGCGCAAGGTGAAGCCCTCACTTCCATGACCCTGCTCCCTGCTCCCTTCTCTTCTCAGCACACAGACACTCAGGTCTGTGCTTCACCGTATCCTGCTAGTAACCCGGAGACATTCAGCTGAACATGTATCTCCCTGTTTTGTTTTTGTTTTTTTTGAAACAGGGTCTCACCATGTAGCTCAGGCTGGCCTTGAACTCACAGCAATCCTCCTGCCTCAGCCTAGAGTGCTGAGATTACAGGCACGCGCCACCACACCCAGTGTTACTTAAAAATAAATACATAAACCTGGTGTGGTGGCACACACCTGTACTCCCAGCTAGTCGGGAGGCTAAAGCAAGAGGACTGCAAATCTAAGATCAGCCTAGGAAGCTTTGTGAGACCCTGGCTCACAAATTCATTAAAAAAATTTTTTTTGGTTTTGTTTTGAGCCAGCGTCTCACTATGTAGTGCAGGCTGGCCAAGGCCTCAAACAATGCCTGGCTCAAAACACAAAATGAGAAAGGGCTAGAGGGTGTAGCTCAGGGCAGATCACTGGCCGAGTATGCACAACGCCCTGGCTTCAGTCCCTGGTACAGCATTTTAAAAAAGGCCAGGCATGGTGGCTCAAGTCTGTCCCCTCAGCACTTGGAAAGCTGAGGCAGGAGGACTGCTGCAAGTCTGAGGCCAGCCTGAACTACACAGCAAGACCGTATCTCAAACAAACAAAAACAAATAAAAAATATATACTATGGTTCTCATCCAGATAAAAAAAATTACGCAGGCTGTACATGAATGACTGGAGTTAGAGGAACACAGTAGTGGGTGACATTTTAATTATTAACCTAAACTAGGCAATTACAGGGATCTTAGTTTTTCTGAGATTAATGACCAAGCCCGCATGCTGGCAAAATGTTGTGGTATAAAGTAAAACGTCAGTGTTTTCTGTTCGCTGGCAATGACTTCTAGCTGTGACCCAAGCATCTGTGTACAGGTGCTTCCCTGACCCCGCAAATGACTGATTTAAATATAAGTAAATATGCATGTGTTTGTGTACGTAGATATATGTGGTACATATGGTGTAATATGGGGTGAAACTCTACAAAGCTATTATTTAAAAGGCAACAGGTCCAGGTGCCATGGAGCACACCTGTAATCCCAGTACTCTGGGAGGCTGAGGCAGGAGGACTTCAAGTTTGAGCCCAACCTGGGCAACTGAGCAATTTAGTGACACCTGCCCTTAAAAAAGGCACCAGAGCTGGGAGTGGTGGCACATTCCTGTAATCCCAGCACTTGGGAGGCTGAGGCAGGAGGATCTTTGCAAGTTTGAGGCCAGCCTGGGCTACAAAGTGAGCTCAAGGCCAGCCTGAATTGTGTAGTGAGACCCTGTCTCAAAAAGACAAAAAAAAAAAAACCACGAAACACCCAGGGTTGGGGCATGGAATACTAAGCACATGTGCACCTTCTGCCTTCAGGGGACAGTGACAGGCAGTGCGTGGGGGGTGATCTAACGGGCCTCGGGAGAGCTCAGCTTGTGACTGTGTCTGACTGCAGCAAGGAGCGGAGCACACCGGGAGTGGTGCGGTTCTGCCCCCAGGGCACCGCAGACCTGGGCTCAGCCGCTGACAGGGGAGGCTGAGGCGGAAGAATCAGATTCCAGGCTAGCCTGGATTGCATAGTTCAAGGCCAGCCTGAACTACGCGGCAAGACCCTGTCTCAGGAAACAAAACCAAAGGAGAACTCCCTGCGGCTGCTCTTGTCACCCTGAGGAAGGGAGCGGGCTAACATCGCCTAGGCCCTGGGCCCGGGCATGTGCGCGCCGCCTGCGGTCTCGGGGTAACGGTCAGCTGTGCAGTACCTGCCGTGCCAAGTACATGACAGGGCTAGCTGCAAGTCCCTTTTAATCAATGTTCTCGCTTTTCTCTCAAGTTTAAATTTAACTGGAAAATATCCTGACATTGCAAATCTTTTTTTCAGTACTGAGGACTGAACTCCGTGCTCTTTACCTGAGCTACGTCCTCAGCCCTTTTTATTTTTTATTTTGAGGTAAAGTCTCACTAAATCACTAAGTTGCCCAGGTAGGCTTGAACTTTTGATTCTCCTGCCTCAGCCTCATAAGGGCTGGTATTATAGACTTGCGCCACCACACCAGCCTGTTTTTTATCTTCATAAAGGAAATGTAACATTAATATATAGGTAACAGTGACTTGCAAAATCTCCTGGAAATTTTCTTTTCTTTTGAGACAGGGTCTCGCTGTTCAGTTCAGGCTGGCCTTGAGCTCACTTAGTTGTCCAGGCTGGCCTCGAACTTGAAACGATCTTCCTGCCTCAGCCTCCCAAGTGCTGGGATCACAGGCATGTGCCACCATGCCTGGCTTCCTGGAAGTTTTAATGTTAAACTGTAATTAATTATAATGTTAATATAAACTTACAAAGATCTTTCATGTGTACATAACAGGCAATTATTTATTAGATAAAGAACACCAAATGAATGGCTATAATTAAATATGTAAGGCATACTGACATTTCTCTTAGCACAAAATCAGCAGGAGCACCCGCACCTGGCAGTCCTGGACCCTCCAGACCAGCTAGCCGCAGCGTGGCCAACCTCCTGTGCTCCTGAGGGTCTGCTCTAAGTTTTAGAGGGATAGTGTTTTTCTTTTAGCCACTAGATTTTTCAGGAAAAATTCACCTATTTGGGAAAAATGAAAATACATTAATATGAGTTTAAAGTAAATAACAGTGCTACTATTTTAGAATTTCAGAATTGTGCTTCAATATTTCCCTTTGGAAGACTTTTGTACTTACTGACATTTCTCCTCAAATCGCTCTTTTTTTTGGGTACTGGGAATCGAACTCAGGACCTTGTGCTTACCAGGCATGTGCTGTGCCACTGAGCTACATCCTTGGTCCCCTCATCCTCAAATCTCAAAGACAGTATTTTTCTAAATATTTCCTGTATCTTTGGCCTTTTCCCCACTGTTCTTTTAAAAATTTTATCACTACAGTGCAGCTGCTATTCTTTGTAACACAATTCACGGGAGGACGGGGGCCGACGTTACCGCTGAGACTGCCTCTGATGATTCCCCACTCTGAGGGCACTATTTATTCTCCTCATCGCCAAGTCCTGCTGTTGGCAGAAGCATCTCAGAGAGCAGTTCTGCCGCGCTACCGCCCGGATCTGTGTTTGCGAAACCTTCACGGGGCCACAGGCTCCGCTGGCGGGGGTGCTCAGCGCCTCCCCACAGGGAAGCGGACTCTGCACGGCCAGGAGCTCCCCAACCCGACACAGGGCATCCTCGGCCACCTTTACAGGAACACATCAACTATTACTAATACTTGAACATTAATTTTTCAAATGTAATCATGCCTAATTTAAACATCTATGGTTTAAACCCCAATATATAAGAAATCATTCATTAATATCAGCCAAGTGTGGTAGCACATACCTATAATCGTTCTTGGAGGCTGAGGCAGGAGGATAGTAAGTTTAAGCCCAGCCTACGCAATTTAAATGACTTAGTGAGACCCTGTCTCAAAAAAAGGCTGAGGGCTAAGGATAAAGTTCAGCGAGAAGGCCCTGGGTTCAATCCCCAGCACCACAATAATTAGCACACATTTTAGACATATCCAAAAAGATCTAGCTCTTTATTCTTCATTATAATTGTTAAGTCCAACTGACAGGGTAAAAAAAATCCACATTTCTTTTGTTTTTTTGTTTTTTTGTCTTTTTGAGACAGGGTCTCACTATGCAGTTCAAGCTGGCCTTGAGCCCACTTTGTAGCCCAAGCTAGTCTTGAACTTGCAACAATCCTCCTGCCTCAGCCTCCCTAGTGCTAGGATTACAGGGGTGCACCATCACACCCAGCTAAAAATCCACATTTTTTAGATTAAATTCAGTCTTCATATATGTTCTCATGGACTTTCTGGTGGCCGTTCTCAACTTTTTATCCCCTGGAAAGAAATGTTTTTATTTTCATAAATCTGCCCGCACAACCGATCAAGACAAGAGTTGAATTACAGAAGTGAAAAATTGCATTGTAGCTAATTTTTCTGTTACCTCTGGGGGGAAAATACAAAGAAATTAACAGTATGAGCAGCAATGCTATCAAATTCCAGTGCTTAAATTGATCTCAAACTGCGAGTCTGGGGATGCAGCTGGTACTGCTTGCAAATGATACACATTTCCCAGAAAATCTTATTACACGCCCGACAGGCTTTGTCATTCCTGCACGACCCACTGCCAGTGCCCACCAGCAGCGCACTGGAGTCGGCGCAGCGTCCCTGCTTTCCCCACGGGCTGACACAGCGTGTGTGTGCGTGCATGTGTGTGTGTGTGTGTGTGTGTGTGCTGTGTCACGGGGGGGCTGAGCCCTGGGGAGGCAGCTGCGGTGGCTGGCTGCAGCGGCGGGGGGGGGGGGGGGGGGGGGCGGTTAAGGAACAAATGGCGGCAGAGAACCGTGCCCTCCGCCTCTTCGGAGAAAGCTCCTCCGGCCGCTCTGGCAAACGCCTTTCCTTTCTCCGACAAAAGATAGCCTCAGCTATTCGATCCACCTCACGGCTTCGGTGACCTGGGTAGAGCTGAACCCGGGAAGTCTGCTTGGTTTCCGCAGAGCTGCGCTCGCGTGGGGCGGGTTCGCGTGCCCGGGCTCTGAGCCTCTGCGCGGGGAGCAAAGCCCAGGACCTAAGGACGCGCCCGCGCGGCTCACCTGCTTTGTATGAGGAGCGCACCAGAGGGCCGCTGGCGGTGTAGTGAAATCCAAGATCACCTCCTACTTTCTCCCAGTACTTAAACTTTTCAGGTGTAATATATTCTTCAACCTGGATTTAGAGAATCACTTCCGGTCAGGCTGCAGAATTCCCAAGTGATTCTGATTCCGTATAAGTGATGCGCGCTGACCCACTGCGCCTCTGGGGTGGGCGCCCCTGAATTCCCAGGGGTCTCCCCTCGTCCCCGCCAGGCCTTCCCCGAAGCAACCTCGCACTCCGGGCCTCCGCGGGACAAAGAGGAGGCTGTCTCTAGAGACTTTTCTGTACTTCCCGCACCGATTAACCCGGTCAGCATCTGACACCCGCTTCTAGAAACAGCCACACTGCCTTCCCTGTCTGACCCCGCGGCGGCCCCGCACAACTCGAACAAGTCCCCGGATCGCCAGGTGCGGCTCAGGGTTTCCCCGTTCTCGGTCAGCGCACTTGAGTCACACAGTGTCACAGGAGCCAGGGAGTGCAGATGAAAAAGTGGGACCCGAGACACAAATACACGGGGAACATTAGCCTAAAAAGCCAGTAGTTTCTTATTTTTACCTGGGGACGATGAAGATATCATTCAAGTTACTAAGAAACATTTGGCAATGCAAGATCTCTGTACCTTGGGCCACGGATACTGCTCAGTGGCACAGCGCCTATCTGGCAAGCACAAGGTCCTGAGTTCAATTCCCGGTACCCAAAAAAAAAGGATCTCCGTACCTTAAGGTGGCGTTTTGTGGGCTGCATGTACTGCCCCAGTGTCAGACAGTCCACATCTGCTTCACGAAGTGCTGCAGAAAAATTAGCAAAAACTCTATTAGCAGGTGTAGATTTGAGTAGCATTTTCCCAAGGAGAGTTTCATAAGGGAGGACACGCTCGTCTGCAGTCCCCGTGATGGAAGAAGATTATACTAGTCTTTCAAAGGTATTTCTGTGCCAGGGCCTACGACAAGGCCTGAACACACAAGAAGGGGTAACACAAGTGTGGGGGGCCGACAGCTGTAGGGACGAGCGCCCCGACACTGGGGCCCGCTGTGAGGCAGGAGTCAAGTGTCGAGGGCAGGGGTCTGCTCGGCAGGGAGGTGAAGGCAGCAGCATGTGGAAAAGCCGGAGACGCTATGCCACAGGCCAAGGCTGCTGGGCTGGGCTCTCACTCACTGGACAAGGTAGGCTCCCCGGACGGGATTCAACTCCTGACATGTAGAATCTCCCTAAGAACCACGTCCATTGTAGTAAAGAGGAGCTTTTAGTCAACCATTTGAATTTACTACGTTTTGAACTACTAATGACTATCAGTAGGCCAAAGGTCCTCAAAAAAAACCTTTCATATTTAAAAGTTTAAATAGACTAAGAAGGCCGGGCATAATGGTGCACGCCTGTCATCCCAGCACTCTGGAGGCTGAGGCAGGAGGATTGTTGCAAGTTCGAGACTAGCTTGCACTACAAAGTGAGCTCAAGGCCAGCCTGAACTGCATAGTAAGACCCTGTCTCAAAAAGACTAAATAAATAAATTTTAAAAAATAAAAATAAAAAGACTAAGAGGCCAAGCATGGTGATGCACACCTGTAATCCCAGCACTTGGAAGGCTGAGGCAGGATCACTGAGGAGGATCACTGCAAGTTTGAGGCCAGCCTGGGCTACATAGCAAGACCCTGTCTCAAAAAACAAAACAAAATAAAAGGAAAGGCCAAGAATCGTAAGCAAATGGGCTAATGGGAAGGAGGTTCAGAAAGTCCAAAGCACTCCATGTTACACAACAATCTATACATAAGTGCTCCTCAAGAGCCCGGACTGGTCTTAGTCATGTGTGAACTGTCAGTGCCTGGTATGTGGCTGGCTCTCAAAAGCCGTGCAATAAAAAAGATGAGTCTACAGCAATACCTCCCTGAACACACCCTATCTCATCTGAAAAAGATGCACGAGCCAGGCATGGTGGCACACACTGGGAATCTCGGTACTCTGAGGCTGAGGCAAAAGAACTGCAAATGCAAGCCCAAGCTGGGCAGCTTAGCAATTTAGCAAGACCCTGTATCAAAATAAAAAATAGAAAAGCCTGAGGATATATTTCAGTGTGAAGCCCTTGGGTTCAGTCCCCAGTACCATGAAAAATAAAAAGAGAAAGTAGACTGAGAGGAAGAGAAAGAGAGAAGTGGATAAAAGAATTTTTCTTTGGGTGAAATGGGTAAGAAGCAAAACGGGATACAAACTTCTGTGGATTCGGCAGTGGATGTTGGAATCCTAGCTACTCAGGAGGCTGAGGCAGGAGGAGGGGAAGTTGGCCGCCAGGGCAGCGGACACAGCTCGGTGGTAGCTGTCTGCCTACCATGTGCAAGGCTGGGGGTTGAGAGTGGGTGCAGTGGTGACCCCTGTGACCCTGGCGCTGGGGAGACTGAGCAGAGAGGATTCGCAATTCCAGTCCCGCCTGGGCAACTCAGCAAGAATTCAGCTTGTCTCAAAATAAAACTTAAAAAAGGGCCGGGACGTAGCTCAGTCACAGAGTGCTGGCCTAGCATGGATAATGTTTACTCTCCAGTGCCCCAACCCCCCAACAAGGGACATACACTTCCTGTCTGAGCTTCATGCCTGTCATCCACGCAGCTGTAAGAGAGCCTACCTGCCTCTCCTGTTGAATTCACAACCATGGACTTTTTCTGGTGCTGGGAATCCAAGCCAGGGTCTCACGCGTGCCAGGCAAGCTATGCCCAGGCCTGGGCTCCCAGCCCAAAGAGGCACACATTGCACAGGGCCTTCCAAGAGGGGTCCTGCTGGGACGCCAATGCAGTCTGAACGCTTTTCACTTCTTAGTTCTTTACCTTTCATTGTCTCGTACACTTGCTCATCACTCTCGCCCAAACCCAACATTATCGATGTTTTCGAAATAATAGCGGGCTGGACCTCTTTGGCGTGTCTGAGCACACGCAGAGACTGGTCGAAGTTGGCCCGCGGATCACGAACTTTCCTGGAAAACAGTGGGGCTGGCATCAGGGAGAGTGGCAAGTCGCAGCGCGTCCCGGATGGCCGGCAAAATGCAGTCTGCGCACTGCGGTTCTTGTCTTTACACCGCTCAGTGGCAGCACTTGTAACAAATTCCTGTTAGTTTAGGAAAGAAATAAGGCTGCTGTGGCCTTCCCAGCTCTGCCAACATTTAAGCTTTCTTCAGGGCAGAGAAAATTAGTAGAAGTCATTTTATATGAGAACTCTGAAGCTCAAATTTACTGACTCTCAGTGACAGTCGAAAGACAAGAGAAAGGGGGCAAAAGTAAGACAATCTCCATATTGAACAAAGAAAAATGAACCTGAAACCACAGAGGCCCGAAACTTAGGCTCCTTGCTTTCCTAGCCTCAGCTGCCCTCTGCTGGCGAGACGCCACACAGCACGGTTCTGGAATTTTCACAGGAAATGATGATGCTTAAGTGAAACCAGGGCATTTGGCACCCACTGCTGGCCATACCAGGGCAGGGCCAGACTTCAACAAAGGCCAAACCAACCTGGCTTCCCAGGGGGGAAGCCAAAAGGCCAGGAAGTTGTGATGTTAAACCAGCATTCAATTGAATTGCAATGCAGCTTTATTTTCTCTAATCAATTTGTCGTTACTTTTTAAAATCAGAAACTGGAAGAAAAAAATGTAGGATTAAAAAGTAACTGCAAAACCACAGTATAAAAAATTACTTTCTAAGTCAGGCATGGTGGTGTACACCTGTGCACTCAGGAGGCTGAGGCAGGAGGATCACTACAACTTCAAGGCTACCTGGCTACATGGTACATTCGAGGCCAACCTGAAAGCTGGGCGTGGTGGCACAGGCCTGTAATCCCAGCACTTGGGAGGCTGAGGCAGGAGGACTGTTCCAAGTTAGAGGCCAGCCTGGGCTACAAAGTGAGCTCAAGGCCAGCCTGAGCTGCATAGCAAGGCCTTGTCTCAAAGAGTTAAAAAAAAACAAAAAAACAAAAACACGGCCAACCTGAACTACATAGTGAGATCCTGTCTCAAAACAAACAAAAAAAGTTATCACTTTTTAAAAGTATTTCTCTAGTTGTATCCATTTACCTATAAAAGCGTAGAGTTTATCTTTCTTTTTTTTTTTTTTTTTTTTTTCTGGTCTTTGAGACTGCCTTGAACTCACTTTGTAGCCGAGGCTGGTCTCGAACTCGCAATGATCCTCCTGCCTCAGCCTCCTCAGTGCTGGGATTACAGGCATGTGCCACCATGTTCAGCCTGAGTTTATCTTTCTTTATAGCTGAGTAATACTCCATTATATAAAAATATCACATTTTTCTTATCCACTCCTCAGTTAATGGGCATTTGGGTTGTTTCCAAGATTTTGCTACAACAAATTGTGCTGCTATGAACATGGGTGCATATATATTGCTGCGGTATGATGTTTTTACTTCTTCTGGGAAAATACCCAGAAGAGGAATGGCTGGGTTAAGTGGGACCTCTAATGCTAATTCTTTAAGGAATCTCCCAACTGATTTCCACAGAGGTTGTACCAGTCTACACTCCCACCACCAGTGAAAAAGCGTTCCTTTTTCCCTGCAGCCCCTCCAGCATTTGTCATTGGTTGATTTCTTGATGGTAGCCATTTTTACTGGGATGAGATGGAATCTCAGTGTTGTTTTAATTTGCATCTCTCAAATGACCAGTGATGTTGAACATTATTTCAAACCATACTCATAAGTGAAATGAATCAGACCCACATGCGTAAACACCGTATTGTCTCCCTAGTGTAAGAACCTGAAAGAGTAAATAAAACTGAAAGGTACAATAGATAGCGTGAAAGGAAAAGGAACTTGTCAATAGGAAAGAACAACTGGGATGAGGGAAAGAAGAAAAGAAAGAAGGAAGGGAAATATACAACTACTTTGAAGATAACAGTAAGTAATACAACAACCATTGCTGATTGCCTAACATGTTGTTGTGAAATTATGTATCAGGAGCTGGGGATATAGCTCAGTGGCAGAAGTGCCTGCTTGGCAAGCTCAAGGTCATGAGTTCAATCCCCGGTAATGCAAAGAAAAAAAAAGAAATTATGTATCAATCTTATAGTTTTTGTGTTTTTGGTTTTTTTTTTGTCTTTGGTTTTGTTATTTTGTTTTTTATTCTTTTCTCTTTAAAATAAAAAAAATAAAAAATAAGAGAAGATTCTCAAAGAAAAAAAGTATTTCTCCACTCAATTTATATTCTATAATGCTTGTGATTTAGAAGAAATGCTTATTACTGTTTAATCATAATGTTTTTATGTTTTATGCACAGAATAATGTAGAAGCTAGTAAAATCAGAGCTAAATACTTTCTTTCTTTTTTTATCTCTTTGAGACAGGGTCTCACTTTGCAGTTCAGGCTGGCCTTGAGCTCACTCTGTAGCGCAGGCTGGCCTCAAACTCGCAATGATCCTCCTGCCTCAGCCTCTGGATTACAGGTGTGTGCCACCACACCTGGCAACTTTTCTAAAGTTAAAGAAAATGAACAATATTAGTCTTGCCTGAGATTTACCATGATTTTAATGTTTTAAAAACTTGAATATAGCCAGGCGTGGTGGCGCATGCCTGTAATCCCAGCACTCTGGAGGCTGAGGCAGGAAGATTGTTTCAAGTTCGAGACCAGCCTGGGCTACAAAGTGAGCTCAAGGCCAGCCTGAACTGCACAGCAAGACCATCTGAAAAAAGACAAAAAAAAATTGAATATAGTCATATGTGGAATAACAATCCTTATTCCTAATTACTAAAATTACTAGGAAGACTAAAGAAATAGTGTCTGCTTTTTAAGGGAGATTTAAAATACATCCAAACAGTATCGGTTTTTCTGCTGGGCCATTTACTGTGTATATTAGTGCCATCTGTGTTACAGGCACATAGATACATTCTACGAGGTATAACTGAAGCTGTGGCGAGTGTTTACACTTTAAGTTTATTGTAGTGAATCACCGTTACTCCCCCTCAAAACACTTCTCACTCTGAACACGTTCTTGGTTCTTGCTGAAGCGCTCTAGAGGGCCTATTTCCTGTCTTTGGTTGTGCGGTTATGGCTGTCTCCATATTTTGAATGAATCAAAATCATTTACTTTTCACGGTCATGTTGACTTTGGAAAGAGCCAGAAGTCACAGGATGCCAGATCTAATACATAGGGGGACGAGGACACACTGCAATGTTTTACAAGCCCAGCTTTCTGTTGGAGGACACACTGCAGCACTATTCACTGTATTTTTTATCACACCTCATAGACACATACGAAAGGATTTCCAGAAGTGCTTTAGGAAGTCCCAACAAGGATGGGACAGGTGCGCTCAAAGCGAGGGGAAGTACTCTGGGGAAGGATGAGTGGCAGTGTCTTTTGCTGCAGTAAATGCTGTAAAATTTAAACGTTCACTGTACATGTTGGTCTCCCTTACATCCATGGGGTTTTTCAGTGTTGAGGCTAGCACTATAATTTCTGATTTTTCTATAAGAGAGGAAAGAAGGGAGGGAGGGAGAGAGAAAGCAATGAAAGGTGGAAAGAAGGAAAGGAGAGAGGGAGCGAGGAAGAGGGCAGTGAGTTCACTCTGGCAAAGTCGGTTGCAGTTTGGCGCTGACAAGTGGGAAGACCTAGAGGAGCGAGACCCCGCTTCCCGGCGGCTCCAGGAGCTCACCTCTGCAGTTCCGGAACTGTTTCCACATTGTGCGCGTAAACGTCTAACCCCGACCGGGCGACCTTCTCCACTGCTCTCAGATCCCCTCGGAAATCGGGGGTGAGGCACTCCACAAGAATTTTTGGATTCCTAGAGGGGAAAACGAGAGGAGCACTGAACTGAGGAAAAGGACTGCCACCACTGCCTCCTGGAACAAATGAACAGAGCCCACCCAGTGTCAGGCACAACACTGACCCTCAGCTCTGCTGAGCACAGCCTGGGCACACACGTGTGCATATACGAGCCACTACATGAGAAATAAAGACATCCAATTCTACGTACACAATGGTTAAAACATTTGCGTGCAAATAACAATCAGAAGAAAAACAATTTTTGGCAATCAGAATAAAGTTTGAGATGACCTAGACTCATGGGGGCGGTACTGAGGATTAAACCTAGGTGTGCTCCACCACGGAGCTACAGCCCCAGGCCCCCTGTTTGGAGTGTTTGGGGACTCAGTCTCACTATGTACTTAAGACTGGCCTTGACTCAATATATAGTCGAGGCTGGCCTCGAACTTGCAGTGATTCTCCTGCCTCAGCCTCCTGAGTGCTGTCCAGCCCCTTTTTTTGTGTATTTTATTATGAAACAAGACCTCACTGCATTGCTCAGATGAGACTGGAATTTAAGAACCTCTTTTCTCAGCCTCCCAAAGCGGTGGGATTACAGGTGTGTGCCACCATGCCCAGTTTAAAATTGTACAGATTTTTAAACCTAATTTGAGTGCTTAAAAATGAGAATCAGTTGCAAAGTAAAATCATTTAAAGGAAATAAAATATGAAATATTAAAATTCTGACTAGGAAATAAATTGGGACATTTAAGCAAATGAAATATTACCTGACTGCTTCAACTGATTTACTTTACAACTCATCAAACAGTCTTCTCCTCCCTTTCTCTAGGCAAATTTTTTCTTTTTGAGATAGGGTCTTACTGTGTAGCCCAGGCTGGCCTTGAACTCATGGCGATCCTCCTGCCTCAGCCTCCAGAGTGCTGGGATTACAGGAGTGCGCCACCATGGCTGACTCTAGGCAAATATTTCACAAGTGCTATGGGTTTTAAAAAAACTTTTCTGGGCTGCTGAATTACGAATTTGCTTAGAAGTACAAGCTAAACATTAATCTTATTTTTAGTGTAGCTGTGTCTATTCACTCAAGGGTTACAATGTCAACTAGATCATAGAGCCGTTCTCTTCAATATGAGCAGAAATGATTCCAGGTTGACCAATTTTTTCACAAACCCAATACAGAAAAGTATCCCTGAGAAAACAGAAAGACCACACAGGCCCTCTCGTGAGTGCAGATGCTGACAGGGCACATCCTTTAACTCTGTTTGGGATCTGACCCAGTCTTGCGCATGCCAGGCAAATGCTCTACACTGAGCTGAGCTATGTCCCCAGCCCTTTTTATTTATTTTTTTTTTTGAGACAGGGTGTTGCTAAGGTGTCCAGGCTGGCCTGGAATTTGTGATCCTCCTGCCTCAGCCTCCTCAGAACTGAGACTACAGGTGTATCCCACCATGCTGGCTTCATTGTTTTTTTTTTAAACTGCAAGTTGAGACCCACTCATGCCTTGTGAAAGAAAGTCAGTAGGAGCCGGGCATGGTGGCGCACCCCTGTAATCCCAGCACTCAGGAGGCTGAGGCAGGAGGATTGTTGCAAGTTTGAGGTCAGCCTGGGCTACAAAGTGAGTTGAAGGCCAGCCTGCACTACATAGTGAGACCCTGTCTCAAAAAGACAAGAAAGTCAGTGGGTTGTTAACATGCTTTATAAAATGAACTATAATAAATGGAAAATAGGCAGTAATGCGAAATCATTGGAAAAACATTTACTAAGTATGCTAGATGTTACAGGCTAGCACTGGGTTATGAGAAATGAGCATCTCTTTTATTTTGCGTTTTGAGACAGAGTCTCATTATGCAGATTAGGCTGGCCTTGAACTCCCAGTGATCCTGTCTCACCTCCTGAGTTCTGGGATTACAAGCACACACCACCATGCCTGGCTTGCGCATCCCTTTTTGGTTTTTTTTCCGGTACCAAGAATCGAACTCACGAGCTTGTGCTTGCCAGGCAGGTGCTGTGCCGCTGAGCTAAATCCCCAGCCCCTGCATAACCCTTTTAAATGCTATTTTAAATGCACAGTATTAAGATAGTAGTAAAAATGTGAATTATGGATAAAATCTCCAAGTCTATAAATATGGATGAAACCTATCAAGAAATATATATTTTGCCGGGTGTGGTGGCACATGCCTGTAATCCCAGCACTCGGGAGGCTGAGGCAGGAGGATCATTGTGAGCTCAAGACCAGCTTGGGCTACAAAGTGAGCTCAAGACCAGTCTGATCTCCATAGTGAGACCGTCTCAAAAAGACCAAAAACAAAATATATACATATACATATAAAGCAAAAACGTTCATTTAGCTTATAGTTTTGGATCCCAGGGAGCATAGCGCAGGCTGTGATAGGGTCTCACTGTATATATATATATTTTAATAGTATTAGAATTTATCTCATTCTAAGTACTTTAAAATGATGATTTATCAAAACTGTGCTAAGACCACAGTTTAACAATTTTTGAGAAGTCATCCAGTTTTTGCCAGGCATGGGGGCACATGTCTGTAATCCCAGCATTTGGTAGGATGAGGCAGGAGGATCACCATGAGTTCAATGCAGTGAGACCCTGTCTCAAGAAAGGGAAGGGAAGGAAAGGGAAAGGAAAACACAGCACAGCACTCAGCTTAGACTAACACTCAAACGTGAAGCGAGGGAAGGGGTTCTATGTACTCACGGCCCAAGGATATATTCATGCCACTGAGCTCTTACCGCTTTGTGCAAATGCTGTATGTATGTAGATACATACACACACGTGTACAAATGTGCACAGATATGCTCTTTCTGGAGAGTTTCCAGCCGATTCTCGGTAAGATGAAATCCCTCCTGAGGTTCATAATCACTGCTTTAAGGCGGAGGCCTTAATCGGAAAGACAGGGGTCCAAAAGGTCCTTAAGGCACACAAACAAGTGCGAAACCAAGTACCTTTCCTTCAAGTGTGCCACGGTCTTTGCAATGTGCTCGGCTCCCCCGTCGGGTACATCTGCAAAGAAAACCCACGGTCAGGCCACCGCACAGGAGCGGCCAGCGGGGGCAGGGGCCACGCTGACACTGACCGTCGCGATCCACGGACGTCAGGACGACGTAGTCCAGGCCCCACTCCGCGATGGCCTCCGCAGTGTGGTAGGGCTCACTGGCGTCCAGGGGAGGGGGGCTTCTTGCAGTCTTCACAGAACAAAATCGGCAACCTCTTGTGCACGTGTCACCCATCAACTAGAACAGAGATTCAAGTCAGACAGACGGACGGACAGATGGTCTCCGGAACACTGCCAAAAGCAAGCTGCACACGACAGGGACAGATTGGGTCCATTTATAAAAACACGAAATGCACAGAGTATATCCTTAAGGACTATAAACTGCAAAACTAGAAAGAAAAGGAAACCACAAATCCAGAATTAACAGTGTTAAGGGAAAAGGGGAGGGGACAAGCCCTGGGAAGGGACATGCAACCCAAATTTTAAAATTCAGTTAAAAAATGGGACCCTAACACACGTTTAGGGGTACATGGGGGACTCTGAGGATAATGCTAATGCTGGTTCTCAAACTGAAGGCCAGCATCAGGGCATCCGCTGCACTGCTGTTCCCAGCGTGTGAAGATGGCCTCGGACCTGCTCAGCACTAGGGTTGGTGTGCGCTAGCCCGTGCTTGCAGTAAGCGCCGATTACATCCCGTACAGAACACATCTTCATGGTTTTAACTTCCTCCTTCCCTCCCCTCCCCAAGCAACAGATCCACGTGCAGATGCTTGTTAGCGTTCAACATTCAATGCAAGGCACAGCCCCTTCTTGTTGAATAGGCAAGACAGAAACACACAGGAAGTTATCAGGAAGAACATTTCCTAAAGAACAGAAGAGGCGGCTCCGGGCGGCACACACTTAACCATCAGACAGAGGGGAGGAGCGATAACAGATTGATTCAGAGAAGGTGACACACAACAGCTTAGATTATTCCCCCAGCTTTTACTTCTTATACTTTGCATAGACTCATTTGTAATGAGAAAGGAGGCAGAGGTTCATGCCGCACATTTTTAGGAGGAGGCGGAGCTACTCCACTTCTACCCTAAAGCTGGGGCAGAGCTGGCTTTACCATGATTGTGGCTGTGGCAGTGGCATACTCGCCACCTCCCCAACACTCTCCAATATTGGGACATCGAGCTTCCTCACACACCTGTCAGTAGAAGGGATCAAAATAAAGTCAGGTTGAAAATACGGACCAAGTGAACAAGTATTAGACACTTTAAGCTGCCCATTGTTTACTGCTTATTTTTTTCCTGTACTGGAGATTGAACTCCAGGACTTATACAACCTAGACAAGCTCTTTACTACTGAGTTGCAAACCCAGCCCTTTTTAAATTTTTAGTTTTAGACAGAGTCTTCCTAAATCGTCCAGGTTGGCCTTGAACTCGGAATCCTCCTGCCTCAGCCTCCAGAATAGCTAGGGTTATAGGCATGCGCCACCATGGCCAGCACAACATAAATTATAGTCTTCCCCACAGACACATACTTAATTCTAATACAAAAATGAACAAGCTGGGCCTGGTGGTAGGTGCCTGTAGTCTCAGCTACTTCGAAGGCTGAAGTAGATCACTTGAGTCCAGGAGCTTGAGATCAGCCTGCACAACACAGCAAGGCCCCAACTCGAAACAAATAAAAGCCCAAACCAGTAGGCCTGGGGTGCACACGCTCTTGGGACCCTCAGGCAGGAGGATCATTAGTCTGGGGGCAACCAGGTACAGTGAGTTCAAGGACAGCCTGAGTGACACAGCGAGATCACATTTCAAAAATCCACAAAAACAACAAAGACCTCAAGCCTACAAAAAACCCTTGCTTCCCAAGTTTCAGGGAATATCTGGAGATATTAAGAAATATAATCACCTTTGTTTCTTTTGTAGAATTTTTTTTTGGGGTGTGTGTGTGTGTGCGTGTGTGTGTGTTCAAGCATCCAACCACTGAGCCATACCCCCCAACCCTTTTAATTTTTTTGTTTTGAGACAGGGTTTTGCAAAGTTGCCCAGGTTGGCCTCAAATCTGCAATCCTCTTGCCTCAGTCTCCTGGTAGCTGGGATTTTCCAAGCCACTACACTTGGCTTGGAAAAATTATTTTCAATTCATTTTTGGGAGGGAGTGCTGGGGATGGAACCCAGGCCCTCAGGGAACTGTATCGTTAGGCCCTATATGTGTTTCTAATTACGGGGAATAATGCATCATTTAACATCATTATTTACTTTCCTTGCTGTTATTTATATATTTATTAATTTTGTTATAAATATATAGAAACAAAGAAACAAAAGCCAAGTATGTAGAAACAAACACGGGTTCAGACTAACATCAGGCAGTTAACACTGAGAACTTACTGTATGGAGATTCAACTTCCGCAATGTATTTTTCAGTTTGTTGTAATTTTTCCCCACTGGAATCTCGGTCTTTAGCCATGGAGGTAGCCTTAACCTAAGGAAGCCAAACACAACTGTCTTTAAAAATAAGCTGACAAATAATCACACAGCTTTAAACAGATTTTACTCTATTACCCACCCTACCTAAAAATTTCTTCCATGATCCTAGATGAATTCCTAACTTCAGCCACAGGAGGGGGGACAAAGACCCAAATTTACGCTCGCTCAGAACCCCTTAGAGAACCCTGGTGGAGGCTGGCAAGGCCCTCTGCTCGCCTCTGCCTTTTGCAGAGGTACAAAGTTGCCCTATTCTAGTAAAATACAGAAGTCTTTGAACATTGCATTCCCTATGAAAAACAGCACCAAAAGTACTCTATTAACTCAGATTGTCTTTTTTTGTGTTTTGTTTTTGAACCAAGGTCTCACTATATAGCTCAGGCTGGCCTCAAACTCATGACAATCCTCCTGCCTCAGCCTCCTGAATGCTGGGATTATAGGTGTCCACCACCATACCCATTTTAATTCAGATTAAAAAGAGATACCCACCAGGTACTATTTGCTCTACATTGTAGATTTTATGGGGATGTTTATTTGTTTGTTTTTGACACATGGTCTCAATATGTAGTTCAAAATGGTCACTATGTAGCTCCGGCTGGCCTTGAGTTTACAATGATCTTCCTGCCTCAGCCTCCTGAGTGCTGAGATTAGAGGTGTACACCATCAAGCCCAGCTAATGGTCATTATTAAACAGAAAAAAAAAAAAAATCTACAGTTTGAAGTGGAGATTATACAGCCTCAACTTGTAAACAGTCCTCAAAACTATTTTCCCCCTGCATGAAATCCTCACCGTTTTTAGGCATTGTATCCACAGGTCATACGTAAATATGGAGAAAGAACAAGTCAGGTCGTGGTATCCACTTATAATTTAAAAATTATCAAAATCTAATAGATGAATAGCAAGGTGACAACCTTCAGTCTGTTAAGAATCAGTGGCTGGGTAGAAAATGGGAAGATGGTTGTTTTATGGTTAGGTCTGAGGAAAGATGAAGAAAACTTGGTAAAGGCCACAGGAAAAAAAATTCCAACAACTTTTACATACCTGTCCTACATGGGTCTGTTATCACCTCTTTCTAATTTTTTTTGTGGGTTTTTTTTTTTTTTTTTTTTTTTTTGGTCTTTTTGAGACAGGGTCTCGCTATGCAGTTCAGGCTGGCCTTGAGCTCACTTTGTAGCCCAGGCTGGTCTCGAACTCACTACGATCCCCCGCCTCAGCCTCCCCAGTGCTGGGATTATAGGTGTGCGCCACCACGCCCAGCTCTAATGACTTTTAGAAAGTCATTTTAGTCATTAGAACTTTTACAAAGTTTAACAAGTTTGAAATTAGCTGGGCATGGTGGTGCACGTGGTGGTACATGCCTGTAATCCCAGCACTCAGATGCTGAGGCAGGAAGACTGCTACTGAGTTTGAGCCGAGTCTGGGCTAGAGTGAGTTCAGGGACAGCATGAACTGTGTAGGGAAACCTTGACTCAAACAAAACAAAAACAAAAAATATACTCCAAGACTTGGTTATATCTGAAAATAATGCAGTAAAAGAAAGGGACATTAAAATTGTCTCAAAATTGCAATTACTGCCCAGGGTGATATGCACTCCTGTAATCCCAGCACTTGGGAAGTTGAGGCAGGAGGACTGCCATGAGTTCAAGGCCATCCTGGGCTACATAAGCGAGTTCAAGGCCAGTCTGGACTACATAGGGAGAAGTAGCAACTTCTGAAAAATTTTCAGGGCCAGGGATATAGCTCAGTAAAATTTTGAGGGCTCAGGGATACAGCACTTCCTTGGCAACTTTGAGGTGCTGAGTTCAATTCCCAATATAAAGAGAAAGTAGAGCTGGGTGTGGTGGCGCACACCTGTAATCCCAGCACTGGGGAGGCTGCGGCTGGAGGACTGAAGTGAGTTCGAGGCCAGCCTGGGCTACATAGGGAGATCCTGTCTCAAAAAAGAAGACAAAAATTCATTACCTTTCTCCTTTCTGGCGTTTTAAGTTTCCTTTGTATTCATCCCAGTTGCTCTTGTCTGCAAGATCACCTGATACAAAATCTTGAAGGTCTGGCCCATTCTGTAAAAGTTCTTTTTTTTTATCTGACAAGGAAGTTAATGCTCTGAATGGGCTGTGTAAACATCTTCCAAACAACTGAAAAAAGAATGCATTATGATACCCATTTAGTGGGGCCTGGAATACTCTAGTTTTAACTCTTATAATACCTAAAAGGGAGAGTGAAGGTAAAGAATTGACAGAAATTATGTTAAAAGCCGGTGTGGTGGTCCAGGCCTGTAATCCCAGGACTTGGAAGGCTGAGGCAGGAGGATCGCCATGAGCTGGAGGAAAGCCTGGCCTATATAGTGAGTTCAAGGCCAGCCTGGACTGCATACAGACACTCTGTCTCAAAAAAATAAATAATCAAAGCTAATGATTAGGAGGTAACTATTTGGGATTTGGGAACCTATCTAATTAAACTCACATTCCTTTCTTTCGTTTTTTTTTTTTTTCCGGTACTGGGAATCGAACTCACGACCTGGCGCTTGCCAGGCAGGTGCTGTGCTGCTGAGCGAAATCCCCAGCCCCTAAACTCATCTTCCTTAACAGGTGTTACAAGTTTGGTTTTCAACAAATTTAAGCTGCAATAACTGGAGAAGTTGCCACAGACATACTTTCTTTTTCTTCTTCTTCTTCTTTTTTTTTTTTTTTTTTTTTTTGGAGACCGGGTCTCACTATGCCGTTCAGGCTGGCTTTGAGCTCACTTGGTAGCCCAGGCTAGTCTTGAACTTGCAATGATCCTCCTGCCTCAGCCTCCCAAGTGCTGGGATTACAGGCCTGCACCACCATGCCCGGCAGTTTTCTATTTTTGACTTGAGACAGACATGTTTATTTTTTGTCTTTTTGAGACAAAGTTTCACTATGCAGTTCAGGCTGGCCTTGAGCTCACTTTGTAGCCCAGGCTAGTCTCGAACTTGCAACGATCCTCCTGTCTCAGCTTCCTGAGTGCTGGGATTACCGGCGTGTGCCACCAGGACAGGCCTGAGACACAGATGCTTAAAAGGAAATTGGCAGTAAACATCTCTACTGTGGATAAGTGTAACTGTTAAAACTGAGAGGTAATGCTAGATTTGTCTCAAGAACTGAAAGGGGAAAAAAAAGGCCTGGAGGAAGAAAAAGCAAACGTAACGTGACTATTTTCCCAGGCTTTGTTGTTTCTGGGTCTGAGCATGACAGGCCCGCGCTGCAGCGCTGCGCCGAGGCGAGGACACTTGCAACGTCTCCAGCGGCGGCTCAGAGGACGGGCTCGTGCTCTCAGCGGTCAGGCCGGTGTGTAACACCCACGAAGGGCCCGGCACGGAGCAGTTCTTGGCGGGCTTACTGTAGTGTTCTAAAATAAATGCGGGACACCGACCACTACGCAGGGGAAAACCAAACCCCTAGAAACAAAAACCCTCAGCATCACCCAGGAGCCTTTCAACCCGGACGTTAGAGTTAACACAAGAAAGGCGCTGCGAACGCTGCCCCGTCACAACGCTGGAGAAGCGCCGGCCTCCACTGCGGGGAACGGAGCCCCCCACCCCACGCTGGCACCCTTCTCGCCCTGCCGCTCACCCGGGGCGCTAGGGTGCGCGCTGCGGCCCAGCCGCGCAGAGACATCCCCTCTCTACGCCCAGCAGCGTCGAGGAAGGACGCGACCACTCATTGCCGAGAAAAGACAGCGCGAAAAAACCGTCGCTCGGTTTATGACAAAGCATCGCCCGCGATCGAGCTACTCTGTGATCGGCTGCTTTAGTCTGAGCGGAGTCGCGTACTAATGACGCAATACGCAGGTCCCTTACAGGCTACAAGAACGTGATGACGAATGACGCTCTCCCTTTGCCGTATCTCCCGCAAGGTGAGGAGGTTTGTGTACTCTTGTCGGGGTCTGGGAATCTGAAGCCATCGGCTCTGGGAAAGCCAGCGGCATGGCCCTGACGCTCGGAATCTTTGTTCTGTTTGTCTCCCAGCGCGGCGAGCGCCATATGGAACTGGCGGCGCGGAGATTTGAGTCCAGTTCTGGCCTTTTAGGCCTCCCCCTGCCCTCCTCGAATCCTTCCGGTACCGCGCGGCCGTAGGGACTTCTAGGGGCGGACGGAGCAGGAGTTAGCCCACTGGGCTTCCGGACGCCCGTCGTGGCGCCGCTCCTTCCAGGCCTAGGAGCGCGGGAGGCTGCTGTCGGCCCCGGTGCTGTTAGGTCCTCCTGGGATTGCCCGCCTGGCGGCCTCCGCCCTAGTGCAGTCTAGCGCGGCAGAAAAGCTCCTGTGTTGCGACCTTACCCGCGTTTGTGTTTCAGAATGAAGACCATTCTCAGCAATCAGACTGTCGACATTCCGGAAAATGGTACGAGGCTTGATGTCTTTCTCTGAGCTCTTTAAATGCGCTAAGCGTTGTTGGGTGATCTCACGGTCTCGTTCCCTGTTCTAGTGGACATCACGCTGAAGGGACGCACGGTTATTGTGAAGGGCCCCCGAGGGACCCTGCGGAGGGACTTCAACCACATCAACGTCGAGCTCAGTCTCCTGGGGAAGAAGAAGAAGAGGGTGAGTTTTCGGGGGCCGCTTGCGTTTGGAAGGTCGTGATGTATAACGGCGTCGCGGTGGTTACCTTGGAAATTTCTCAGCTGAGGCTGCATGCTTTAGCTTTAAAGTTTGGCATCCAAAAGCGAAGCTGATTTTAGTAAAATCAGAAGCAAACTGTCAACGCAGCAGGTTGTAAAAGCTCAACAGTTATCCCTTGTGGTAAGGCATAGTCACAACTTAGGTTTATTTTTGATGTCTTTGCTTGTGTAGGAAGTAGGTGGTATTTTTGCGCTGTCGAAATGACATTCGTTGCAACTGACAGCAAAAAAATTGACGTTTCAGGTTGTCACTCCGTCCTAAAACTATATGGTAATGTTTGTTGAGTGTAGGAGGCTCTAGATGGATTGGACTTTAACAATTGAAAATTGATTTTCCCAGTTCCCAATTGAAAATTAAATTGTGCTTTAATTAGAGTTAATTTTTTTATTGTATCTGTTCCCTGGATAAATGAGCCGTTCTCTTACATTTAAGGAAAGACCTGTGAACGTTTCCTTCTGTTCCAGCTCCGGGTTGACAAATGGTGGGGAAACAGGAAGGAGCTGGCCACCGTCCGCACGATCTGTAGTCACGTACAGAACATGATCAAGGGCGTTACGCTGGTAAGCCGACCGTCGGCCTGTTCGGAACCCACTGGGAAATGGGTTGTGCGTGTAGTTTGGTGAGATCTGTGAACTCTGTACTTGACTAGCATCCCTGCCCTGAGGATTAAATGGTGGATGTGAGAAAAAGATCAGATGGGTGCAGTTCACACAAAGTTCAGAGTTCATACCTTCAGGCTTATTTGGGTTTTGTTGTTTAATAAAAATCTCTTAGACCTGCAGGCCATTGGGCATACTTTGAGTAGTTGATGTGCCACCTGCTATTAAAGATTCCTTGTGCTGGTGGAAAAAGCTGGAATCTTTGAACTCCCTGCCTGTTTTTCTAAATGTGTATTTGATAATCACTGCTCATCAAAACTTCAGTCCTTCTAGAAAATACCTGATAATGGCACGCTGTGCCTACCTGTGTTACAAACTTACTGGGTCGTATTTCAGCTGTCTACTCTGGTCTCCAGACAAAAGTTCCTCGAAGAGAAAGGCCCTGTCTTACTTGGCTTGATATTCTCAGTTTTGCCCAAGAGAAGGAACTTTGGATTCCCATTAAGAGAAATTAGCCTTGTTTACTATGGCGGAAGGGGTAGTAAAACAAATGCTTCCTTAAGGACCTCTACTGTCAGGAGACAGTGTCCCTGTGATACGTGGTTGTAAAGATGCTAACTCTGAGAGGCTTGGTGCAGTTGACAGTTGTTAGAGCACCTTGATAATGAGGGCCGTGTGAAAGCTGTTATGTTTTAAATTGTAAAATAAGCATCCTGCTGAACTTTGAGACTGGATTTCTTTGAAATGTGTCAGCATTGCTCAAAACTTGTTTATTTAATAGGGCTTCCGTTACAAGATGAGGTCTGTGTACGCTCACTTCCCCATCAACGTCGTTATTCAGGAGAATGGGTCTCTTGTTGAAATCCGGAATTTCTTGGGTGAAAAATACATCCGCCGGGTTCGTATGAGGGCAGGTATGTGCATGCCTGTTCAGATAGGATCTAGGCATTTTCCCTTAAGGCTTTGAAGGCTGGTGTTCTGGGTCAGTTATGGCTAAAACCATATTTATTGTTTCTTGTTTGCACCTAATTCTTGGTGCTAGTTAAGGGTTTGTATCTTTCCTGAATCATTACATATTGAATTAGCTTACAGAGTATGGAAGCTTTTTTGCGAAGGGGAGTGTTAGGGATTGAGCCCCATACACACTAGACAAAGGCTTTACCGCTGAGCTGTACCACCAGACCTGACTGTTTTTAGAAGATGATCTTTTCTAGGCCTGGTGACCCACACCTATAGTCCCAGCACTGGGGAGGCTGACCTAGGAGGATTGCCATGAATAATTGTATATATTTGCAGGGTGCAATGTGATGCTTCTGTGTATGTATGCGTTTATAGAATGATCAAATCAAGCTAATTAGTGTCCATCTCACATAAGTAGTCTCTTTTTTGTTTTCTATAAACTAATTTCTTTGTGGTGAAAACATTTAAGTTCTCAGCACTCTGGGTGGCTGAGGTAGGAGCGTTACAAGTTCAAGCACAGCCTGAGCAAGTCAGCAAGACCCAATCTCAAAATTTTAAAAAGGGTGGGGATATAGCTCAGTGCAGAGGCCCTGGGTTCAATCTCTAGCACTGCAAAAAGGAGAAATTAAATCCTCCAAAAGCTTTTGAATAATGCTTAAGAGCTTGGAAGATTGTGCTTAGGTTTAAAGTTCAGTTCTTACCTACCTTGAACAAGTGTCTATGTAACTTATTTTACTGGTCTGTAAAAAGGAGTATTTCATGATTAAGTGAGTTGAATTTGGAAACTATTAAAACAGTGCTTGTCTAATACATGGTAGACAAGCTTTAGGAAATGACTGGTCAGGAACATTGTGTGACAATCTTTAGGTTAAAAAAAAAACACTTGAGTGGTATTAAATATGTACCATAGGAAGAGAACTTGATACAGAATTTGGTACAACTAAATTACACTTAGTGCATAGTTGAGTTACTGAGCCTACGACCACTGGGACGGATTCATTCCAGGCAGAACGCAAATTAAACTTCTGGCCAGATAAGCCATTCCCTATATAGCCAAAAGAGAGGTTGGTTTGTTTCATGGAATGAAATTAGCACTAAAATTTAAGGTGGGTTTTTTGTTTTGTTTTGGTCTTTTTGAGACAGGCTTTCACTATGCAGTTCAGACTGGCCTTGAACTAACTTTGTAGCCCAGGCTGATTTTGAACTGGCCGTACTATTCCTGCCTCAGCCTCCTGAGTGCTGGGATTATAGGCATGCACCACCATGCCCGGTGGTTTTTGTTTTGTTTTTTAGCTCTGATCTGCCACTGTTAATACTCTTCCGTTTTTTTAGGTGTTGCTTGCTCAGTATCTCAAGCCCAGAAAGATGAACTAATCCTTGAAGGAAATGACATTGAGCTTGTTTCAAATTCAGGTTTGTATGTTTACTGTGTCTAATTTTACCTACAAAATTTTATCTAAATTTTGTGATTAAATATTTGGTGTTTTACTCATTTAATTTGATTTGCTTTTTTAAAAGCTATCCTGAAGCTGGGTGTGGTGGTGCCCTCCTATAGTCCCAGCACTCTAGGAGGCTGAGGCAGGAGAACGGCAATTTTAAACCCATTCTGGGCAACTTAGTGTCTGCTTGAGACTGTCTGAGTAAGGACTAGAGATGCAGTCCGCGTGAAGGCTTTGGCTTCAATCTTTGTTATTTTGGGGAAAGCTAGTCCAATGATTTTGAGATTGGATATAGCATATAACAAAATACAGGCACGTGTTGCATACAGGCACGTGTCGCTTAACAGGGATGTATTCTGAGAAATGTGTCTTCTATGCAGTTTCGTTAGCTCATGAACATCACTGTGTACATAAACCTAGGTGGGGTGGGTGAGTCCCTTGCTGTGGTCAAGAGCAAGGTATATACGATGTACTGGGGGGCTGCCAGCGAGATGGGACATGTTTAATGTGTTATGAGTAGTACGTGCTGATTAAAAAGTATAGTATGATCTCGAAATTGAGTTTGTTTTTCTCTTACAGCTGCTTTGATTCAGCAGGCCACAACAGTCAAAAACAAGGATATCAGAAAATTTTTGGATGGTATCTATGTTTCTGAAAAGGGAACAGTTCAGCAGCCAGATGAGTAAGATCCAAGAGGTAGGTTTTTTAGTGCTTCTAAGTTTTATTACTGCTTTAGATGGGGCTTAAGTTAGAGTTGAGATGACACAGGGAATTGCTTTCTGGACCACAGTAAATTTCGCAAAGTGTGAGAACTGACATACGTTACTGTGCTCATAGTTGACTATGAACCATTAAGTTACAGTCCGAATGTTGAACCCTTTAGAATGGAACTTTGCTGGGCAAGGGTACTGATGGAGATTTATAGATGTTTGCCTTTCTTTTTTGCAGCTATCCAGCCACAGAAACAAGCTTCTGGATTACAAGATCAGTATGTGATATTTTAATGAGACAATAAAAGATCTTTATTGATTTGGGACTTGCTCTTGATCCATTCAAGCTACTTGGCAAGTACACAGCTTGAGGAATGAGCTCCTGTGCTTTTGAAGGAACAGGCGTGTCCTAGCTTTGCTTCATGGGAACAGGTGCCTTGCATGTGTTTCCTGAAGCGATAGAATATTTCAGGCAAGAGGAATATGGTACCAGTGACAGGCAGCGGCGCTGTGGCTATAGAACGGGAGATCCAGAAGGTGGGATCTGAGCAGTAGGTGAGGCAGGCATGTGCTGGTCACTTGAGAAAAAAGAGCTGAGAAGTGGAGCAATGTCACAGCCTCATTGTGGGCTGGAAAATGCAGTTAGCTTTAGTTCATGATGGACATGTGGCTGTTAGGGTGCAAGATCTCTTGTCCAATACCTCAGCTGTTTGCTTCACAGTCCTTTAGCTTGGCATGGTGATTGCCAGACCTCAGGTATCATATCGACACCTTACACAGATTCCCTCAGGAGAGACCAGTGGGTAGTCATTACTTCTTTCTGAGATTAAGAAGGTAACAGAAGCTGGATCTTAGAGCTTGATTCAAGTGCACCAACTGGCTGTATCAGAACTGATGGGTTTTTAATAAGTTCTGCTTTGAAATAAGGGGTGGAGTTTCAGTAGGCTTCAAGAACAGGTTCTGGGTGACATAATTTGTTTTCCTTTGCCATGTTGGGAAATGAACCCAGGGCCTAGCAAATGCTAGGCACCCACTCTGTCACTGAGTACCCCTGTATAGCTGCTGGGTTTTTGTTGTGGTTTTTTTTTTTTTTTTTTTGTATTGGGAATAAAACACAGGACCTCGAGCTTGTCAGGCAGGACTGTGCCACTGAGCTACATCCTCAGCCCCCCTGTATAGCTTTTTGAAACAAATCATACCACTGTGCTCCTAATCCTACACCAGTTTTTAAAACTGCTTATGACAGCCGAACTGACCTTGTGTTCCTTGGTACCCAGCCTCTGAGCTGTCTTCCCTTTGGAAGGGTTTTTGAACTGGGACTGATTCACTTCTTACAGGTGTGTGGTCAGTGAAGACCACCCTTGATCACCCTTTGAAAAAGCGGCATTCACTCCTCTTGCCCCTCCCATCTTGTTTTTTTTTTGGGCGGGGGAGGGTGTTTGTTGATTGTTTTTGGTACTGGAAATCAAAGAGACCTTGCGCTTGCCAGGCAGGCATTGTGCTGCTGTGCTATGTCCCCAGTCCTTAATGTTGCACTTAGCTTTTTTTTCTTTTTAGGCTGGCTTTGAACTCTAGCCTGGGCTGATCTCAAACTAGTGGTAAGCCTTCCTGCCTCAGCCTTCCGTGCACTACGACACCCAGCAACTGTCAGTGGCATATAAAGCATTGGCGGTTTCTCGCTGAACAGTTGTATGCTGCTGGAATGTAACAGGACTGTGCACTGACAGTGCAGGTATCAGGCGTGCACTTCTGAGTGGATGGCACTGAGATTGCAGATTCAGCATTATGTAAAAAGTTGAGATTTCAAAATGATCGAAAGAAACTAACAAATGGAAGTCTTGTATAGGACAAGATGTTGGTACTGAGACGTAGGTGTGAGGAGCAGCCTGCTGTGGGAGGAAGCTTGCCCCAAGAAGGGACTGGTTAGTCAGCCAGGAGATTCACTGGTAACTTCTGGAGGCTGTGTTTAGCTAAGGGGTAGTTGTCATACAACTTGCATATTATAGGCTGGATGTAGTGGCACATACCTGTAATCCCAGAACTTGGGAGGCTGAGGCAAGAGGATCACTGAGTTTGAGGCCAGCCTGGGCTACATGGTAAGTTCAAGGCCACCCTAAAATACACAATGAGACCCTGTCTGAAAAAGAAAAAAAATTAGGTGCTGTGGATCTAGTTCCCTAGGGAAGATCTCTCTTTCCTTGTCTACTGTGGAGAAACACTTCGGGTATTTCCCCAGCTTTTCAGTGTAGGTGTCCACGTGTGAATGAAAACACCCCAGAAGTCACTTGTCCACCAGCACACTGCTGAGGCGGAGATGACCCACAGGGGTGGGGCCCTGTCAGTGCCAGACCCGTGCATGTTTCAAAGCCTTGCAGTGAACCAGATTCTGAGTTGAATACCTATAATCAGCAGGAACTAGTTTATTTAGAATAACTACAAATTAAACAGATGCGACATACTGGCATCATTTTCTAGCGGCTGAATGCCAGCTGTGGCATTCACTGATGTCAAAGAGTTAGTGAAAGACGAGGTGGTTACCTTTATTGAAAACAAAAAAGCTTAAAGGTCTTTGTGTTTGCTTTTGGCAAGAACTGTCAATTTCTAATTGGCCCTTGACAGTTTTACATAGCGGTTTCATAAACCTGAATATTAGTAAGTACAGTGAGTCATGGGCCAGATTATGTAACTTACCTAAGGATTTTCCTGTGCCTGTGGTTTAGAAACTAGTAGAGAAAGCCCTAGGTAGCAGCAAGGGAGGACTTGGAGCCTTTGACTGGGAGCTTTCTGTCTCCACTGCTGTGTGGCAAGGCAGCGTTTGAAAAGGGGGCGCGAGATTTGAACTTCGTCTAGTTTCTTTTTCTCATTTTCCTCGGTGGGGTGCGGGCCTCCCCTTCATCAACCTGCATCTTGGACCCTTTTTGAGATAGCGTCTGGCTAGGTTTCCGGGCTGACCTTGGGCTTGCTCCTGCTTCAGGCTCTTGAGTGGCTGGGATTACAGCCGTGTGCCCGCTGATCTGTGTGGACACAGTAAGAAATCACGAAGATGGGCTGGGATGTGACTTGGTGGTGGAGCCCTTGCCTAGCATGCGCAAAGTTCAGCCCCCAGCGCAGCATACTGAAACGTAGTGGTCAGTGGACTTGGAAACTGCAAGCACAAGATACTTTGAGACAGGCAGCAAAAATCTGGCTGACTGCACATTTTTTTTTCCTCTGAAGACACTATTAAAAGAGGCAGTAAGTTGATGAGTTGTTCTATTGACATTTTTTACTGGAGCTCTTCAGTCAGGGTGAATCTGGCACAAAGGGAAAAGGAACCAAGTGATTCTTTAAAACACGTATCTTCTCAGCACAGTAAAACAGTGGACCGGTTGTAATGCATAGCATTAAGAACTGAGTTCTCACAGAAGTTTTTGATAAAGCGTACTTTAAAACTGCTGGGGCTCGAGGAGTGAGTGTTAGAGTAAGAGAGAAAAGCAGAATTTGCTGTTTGAATTTGGCCAAATGACAGGTTTATTTTCTCTTTTTTTGGTACTGGGAATCAAACTCACGACCTTGTGCTTGCCAGGCAGGCGCTGTGCTGCTGAGCTAACTCCCCAGCCCCTCAGGTTTATTTTCTGTCACTTGCATTCACTTGATCAGTTATCTGAAACTTAACTGTTCTTATCAATTAGAATCCTGATGTAAATTAGTCTTGTAATAATCTGAATATAATTAAAACATTGGGGGGGGCATTTGCTACTAAGGCTTTTTGAGAGGAACTATTTCCTTTTGAATCTTTTGAGACAAGGCATCACTGTGTAGTTCAGCCTGGCCTTAAACTCACTGGGTATCCCAGGCTGTTCTGGAACTCGGCAGTGATCCTCCAGCCTCAGCCTCCTGAGTGCTAGGATTTTAGGTGTGTGCCACCATACATGGCTCCTTTGACTCTGAAAGTCTAAAACTCCTGGAGTGGGCAGACACTGAGTAGTGACTATGTGTAACGTGTGGTTAAATGTTGACCAACCAGAAAGAAGAATAGATAGATAAAATGTGTGTACATGCAAGCTTTTGTGACTCCAATATAAAATCAATGTGCAGTAGTCTTAATTACAGTTCATTTTGTTGTTTTTGTTTTTCGAGACAGGGTCTTTGTAGTTTAGGCTGGCCTTGAACTCACTAAGTAGTCCAGGCTGGCCTCAAACCACAGCAGTCCTGCCTCAGCCTCCTGAGTACTGGGATTACTGGCATGCACCATTATGCCCGGCTCATAAAACATTTACACTATTCAAGTTCAGACTTACGAGTTCTGGTTTTAAAAGATCTCCTATAAAAAAGTTCTAACTCGCTTAGACCAACATACTGAATTTCTCCAGTCACAGTTGCTAGGTCCAGATGTGGCTCCATCCTACACCTCAGTAGCTACCTGTATTCATGTGAAAAGCAACTCTTCAGGGGAAAGAATAATAATAATTTTTTTTTTTTTTTGCCTTTTTGTTTTTGAGACAGGGTCTCACTATCCAGTTCAGGCTGGCCTTGTGCTCACTTTGTAGCCCAGGCTGGTTTCAAACTCTCAACAATCCTCCTGCCTCAGCCTCCCAGAGTGCTGGGATTACAGGCATGCACCACCACACCCGGCAATAATTCTTTCTCTTGTGGAATAACAGTGCAGTCCTGAGACCACTCCTGGTGAGCAGTACAACTTAGAGCTTTTTAGATTTCCTAGTCTACTGAATCACAAGCACGGGGAGGATGAGGAAGCCGGTTCAGGAAACCATGGTGCCCTGAGGTTGCAGAGCGTCCTGTCTGCGCACAGCTGGCTCTCGTTCCGAACCTTAGTCCTCGCTCTTTCCACAAGATGAATTGTGGGAGTTACATTTTTCAAAACACGAGAAACCTAAGAAGAGCAAGCTCACAACAGAGATGTCTTAGAAATGCTTAATAATTCTTTTTGAGAAAAGCAGACCAATGTGTTTCAGGGTCTGCTGTAACTGGCTGCAGACAACCATCGCTTACCCTGTTGTGCTTTTGCTTTCCATTCGAGGACCACCCTGGCCTAAAAACACCTTGTTAGAAGCGACAGCAATCTCTGCTGTGGCATCTAACATCACAGATTTTCACTTCTTAAAGTAATTCTTTTGCCATCAGTAGTTATTGGTTCTTGGGGAAGAAGTCCAGAGAAAAAGGATAGGAAACTGCTCATCGCATTTGCTGAAGCAGTGATCAGGAAATCTCAGATCTCCGTCCCGGTGAAGCCTGATTCGTCAGCTGCAAATGTTGAACCCGCTGCTGTCCACACGTGAGGGCAAATTCATGTGAACCTCGCTGCGGTGATGACCAGTGTTAGTTACCACCTTGGTGACTACCGAGTCTCCCTCCACCTCCTCCCAGCACACAGCCGTGTTCTGTGAGTCCCAGCGCGCGGGACCGGAGTGCACGTCTAAGCTATATGACACATGAGTTTAGCTAAGAACTCTTTTGCGGGCTTTCTTTAATGGTATGTTTTGTACGTTCTTTCCTTTCCAAAATTTTCTTCTCCGCTGGTGAAAAATGATGATGGATAACAGCAGAACGAGGGTGGAGAACAAGCAACAGCCGAAGAATATCAGCGGCTTCCTCCGCAGGAGCAGTGAGCAGACAGCGCACTCCCTGTCCCTCTGCGCCTGACCGCACGCAGGGCCGCTGTGCTCAGCCGGGAAGCCGCCGCTGCTGATCAGCTTGTTATAAAACCTCACTGAAGATTTGGCTTTGAAATCGGATGTGAAGAATCCAAACCTGGGTTTAGATTTTTCTTCAGTCAGTTTGAACGCATAGTAGCCTCTGATCTTGACTTTGTCAATCAAGTATGCTGAAAAACACCAGAAAGCAACGTCAGGACTCACAAGTGACCGTGAAGTTCATGGGGGAAGAGCTTAGTTTTCAGTGAGACAAGCTCGAGTCATGTCCATGAAAGAAAGGACACAGCTCTCATTTAAGGCTTTTATGGGCCTTGGAAAGAGGGTAAAAATGTGCATAGCTTTTTAAAAAAATAAAATTTTGATCCGTAAGAAAAGCAAATGTAAGAAGCAGAGCCCTGAAGATCACTTAGCACACGTGTGCCGGAGGTCGCCCGCAGAAGTCTGCCCTCTGTCCCGGGGTGGGCCTCAGGTGAGCCCCGGGCACTGCCCAGGAGCCGCATTTGCTTTCTCCTGGTCTCCATCCGCTCCCAGTCAGCCTCACACCCTCTGGCCCCCAGTGCCACCCCCGCTTTCATGGAGAACCCTGCCCCTCCGGAGATGGCCGCTCCCTCCTGGAGTCTGCACCCGCTCTGCCTTCCCTCCTGCTTTGAAGCCTCCTACGCTGCCTCAGGACAGGGCTCCGTCCCTCTCTTAGACAGATACCGTAACTTCTGCCATCTTAATAAAAACAACACTCCCTCCAGCGCACCCCCCAGCTAACTAGCTCCTACAGCGCCTGCCTCCACTCAGCCTTTTTCACTGGTCTCGCGTTTTGCTGACCTCTGAATGTGGACGTGGCCCAGGGCGCAGCCTTCTCTAAGCTTGGAGTCCTACTAGGTTCACCCAGCCTCCTGTTCCAAATCTGCACTTGGGACGTACTTGAGCCCGCATTTTTATGGGGCAAAAATCAACAAGTAGGGAAGATACAGTGTATCAGAGGTTAAAAGTTGTACGGAGAAAAACCGAAGAGGATGCAGGCTGGAGAACTCTGGCCTTGCCAGCCTGGACCACAGAGTGAGACCCTGTGTCAACAAACCCAAAACAACAGACAGAGAGGCGTGCTCTGGGTGAAGGGACAGCAAGTGCAGAATGCTAACGTTTAACGCGGGCCTGGCCCATACCAGGCTCGGGCCTGATCAGCGGCTGCAGAAGAGGCAGTGGAGAAGGAAGTAGAGACGCGGTCAGAGCGGGAAGGGACAGACTGTGGGACTGAGGGGCCAGTGTAAGCTGTGGCTTTAGGGTTGTAGCTGCTCTTCCTCACCCTGGACGCCCTCCATGACAGTGATCATGATTTTATTCACTGGTGCCGAGTGCCCAGAACAGTTTTAGCCCATGTTAGGTGCTCAGTATTTGTCAAATAAATGCATACATTTCTGGGATATTTTTGCTACTTCAAGTTTATCATGATCATTTAAACATAAGATTTTAAACTGGGCATGATGGTGCACTCCTATAATCCCAGCACTTGAGAGGCTGAGGCAGGAGGATCACTGCAAGTTCAGGGCCACCCTGGGCTGCATAGAGTTCAAAGCCATGCCGGGAATATAGCTCTGTGGCACAAGCGCCTGCCTGGCAAGCGCAAGGTCCTGAGTTCAACTCCCAGTACTGGAAAAACAAGAAGAGTTCAAAGCCAGTCTAAACTACATAACAAGTCCCTGTCTCAAAAAAGCCCAATAAATAAATAAATAAACAAATAAATAAAGCCACACAAGATTTTAAACTGGGCATGGTGATGCATACCTGTAATCGCAGCACTTGGGAGGCTGAGGCAGGAGGATTGTAGAGAGTTTGAGGCCAGCCTGAACTACATAGTGACACCTCATCTCAAAAAAAGCAACAACAAAAACTTACAAGCCTCAATGTTGGGAAGGGTACCTGAGGTCAGCAGTCAGATACGCTGCTGTTGAGAATATTTGACCCCATAATTAGGCAATGGGCAACTGGTCCTAAAGGAGGTAATTAGAAATGAAGAGAATCCATACCAAGAAAAGAAAAACTCCCACATATCAAACACTAGATACCTACTTTGGGGGAAAATAAAATCCTAAATATCAAACACGGGAGGAAAGGTTAAGTATGTGGAGGTACGTTCATAAAGCATGTGATATTAAGCAATCATGAACAAAAAGTTTAGGGGATTTGTTTATGACATGGACCATTTATTTATTTTTTGGACCATTTATTTATAGCATGATTTTAAGGAAAAAGTTCTTGCTTAGTGAGAGAGTGCTTATCTAGCATGCATGATGTCTTGGGTTTGATCAACAACATGAGAAAGAGAAGTTGAGTGGAGGACTGGGGATATAAGTCTGTGTAGAGCCACACAGGAGGCCCTGGTTGGATTTCCAGTACTGGGGGGTAAAAGTTGGATACAAAATTGTCTGGGTTTTTTTTTGAGATAGGTCAATTATATTAAAAATACCTAGTATTGGGAGGCTGAGGCAGGATGATCTTCACGAGTTCCATGCCATCCTGGACTACATTATTCAAGACCAGTCTGCACTACATAGTGAGACCCTGTCTCAAAAATGAAAATGAAAAATAAAATACCTAGCAATTACACTGGAAAGAAGTAATCCAAAATATTGACAGAGCTTGTTTTGGGGGGTGAATTTTCAAATGATTTTTAGAGAAATATGCCAAATTTTCCATAATGAGCTTGTCACTCTTAAGGTTAAAATTACTTGGGTGCTACAAGCCTGACACTGTCACTACTAGGCCTCCGCCCGCGTCGTGTCCTGGTGCCTACTCACGGCAGCCAGGAGGGCCGGGCCTCACCTTTCAGGGCCTCCTGGACGTACTTCTCCAGGTAGTACTTGCGCAGCCGGTCGTTCTCGCGCGCCTGGTCGTCCACGCCGCTGGCGGTGATGTAGATGTCCACGTCGCCGTAGTGGCCGCGGATCCAGCGCAGCAGCTTGCGCGCGCCCCAGGGCAGCACGGCCAGGCGCGAGGGCGAGCTCAGGCGGGTGATGTCCTGCAGGAACTGCACGTCGCGGTCCGCGTCGTAGCTGCTGCCGCGCCGCTGCTCGTGCATCACGAACCTGGTGGTGAAGTGGTTCAGCGCGTAGAAGTCGGCGGCGCCCCTGACCAGCCTGCGCTCGGCCTCGGTGAAGCGGGGCAGCGCGGAGCCCGACAGCCCGCGCCGGCTCCGGGCGGCCAGGTGCTCCCGCATGGCCGGCGGGTAGTCCCCGCTCCCGAAGAGCGGCTCCGCGAACCAGGCGATCTCGAACTGCAGGAAGCGCTCGGCCGCCTTCCAGTGCGAGTCCACGAAGGGGTTGGCGGGTTCCGCCCAGTCCGAGTGCAGCGCCAGCGACACGGCGCCGCGCTGCGCCGCCCGGTAGCGCCGGTCGTAGAGGCGCCAGGCCAGCGCGTGGGCCATCAGCAGGTGGTGCGCCGCCAGGTAGGTGTCGTTGCCGGTTCGGTTGTAGATGTCGCTCAGCCGGTTGGGCTCGTTGATGGTGATCCAGAGCCGCACCACGTCCCCCAGCTCGCGGAAGCACAGCCCCGCGTAGTCCCGGAAGGCCTGCGCCGTGGCGGGGTTGAGCCAGCCCCCGCCGAGCCGCAGCGGCCCGGGGAGGCCCAGGCGGGCGTGCGTCGGGTGGTACAGCGTGACCATGGCCGAGACGTTGAGCTTCAGGCCCTCGCTGACCACACACCGGTAGTAGCGCAGGGCCTGTCGGTTAGCCGAGGTCAGGTTGCCGCTGGGGAGGACGGAGGCCCAGTCCAGAGCGAACCGGAAGTGAGTGACTCCCATTCGGGCCAGCATCTCCAGCTGCTTTTTGATGCTGATGAAATCCGTGCACTGAGCCTGCCGCGTTTTCAGCTTTACCCCCTTGACGCGGTGCAGCCGTCTGTTGCCCGTGGCGTTCCACACGTACAGGCTGGGGTCGGTGAACTGCGGGGAGGAAGCCATCAGCTCCGGCTGCGGAGAGAAGCAGACCTGGGTGAAGCCCTGGCTGGCCGTGGCCGGGGAGGCGCTACCTGCAACCTTGGAGAGAAGGGCGCTGCCTCTTATTAGACAAAATAAATGATGCGCGCGTCCTTCCTCATGACCTGTGTGTTCTGGCTACCCGCCCGCGCGATTACCCTCCTTGCCAGCGCTCAGATTCTCCAGGGAGACCTGGAGACAGGGAAGGAACCACATCCAGGCCTCTGCTCGGGAAACAAGAGCTGAGAAGCCATTTTCCAGCTCACTTGCTCTTCCGACCCAGGTTATATGGTGGCGTCGCTGTGATTCTGTGCAAATGTATCCGGAAATTGGCTTGGCACCCTCAGTTTACGGCGATCATGAAAGGTGCATTCTAAGCCCTGTCATAAAGTGAAGGCAAAGGTAAAATTGGAGGAGGTCCGCAAGGGCAGCACTTGGGGTTAGAGTAGGCTGGGGGCCCCAGCAACAGCTCCTATAAGAGGCTGGCTGGTGGAACGGGGGTGCGCAAAGGCTGTTTGTATTGCTAAAAAACACAACTTTCAACTCTTCCTATTTTTTTTTTTTTTTTTGTCTTTTTGACACAGGGTCTTGCTGTGCATTTCAGGCTGGCCTTGAGCTCACTTTGTAGCCCAGGCTGGTCTTGTACTTGAAATGATCCTCCTGCCTCAGCCTCCTGAGTACTGGGATTACAGGCGTGCACCACCACGCCTGGCCAACTCTTCCTATTTCAAAAGCTCAAGTAATGTCACATTTGCCTCCAGTATATTCTGCCCCAGGAGAACACAGCATTTATTTGCCCAACAGGAGAGTATTGCATGCTGTCTCCACCCAAGGACAGTAAGATACCCTAAGACCCCGAGGGTAGCTCTAACACAGAAAGCCCTAGACTCCTGTCGTGGTCAGACCCTCTGACCCTCGGGCAAGGCCACGCTATAGTGCTGAACTGTTGCACCCACCTCCCGGGTATGCTGAGCCCTGGTAACTCAACAGAAGGTAGTTGTGACTTGGGTTTAGTTTTCCCTGGTTGCAATTAATAGCCTGTTAGGCCCTTGAGTCTAAACTAAAATGAAGAGTTTAAGAAAAGTATTTCCCAATTCAAGATGAATAAGGACAAGCAAAAGTCCTTTTCTTATTTTAAAATACTGTTTCTCCTCATGACTGAATTTAAATACACCAGGAAAAATGATAATTAACCTTTGGTAAATCTTTTCCCTCTAATTGTTTTCTCATGTGTCATCTTTCATAGCCTAATTGCAAAACCATATTACTGCCCACTTGCCATCTGCCGGCTGGTTACCCAGGACATTAAACTGAGAGAACACTGATCATGTGAGCGTGAAGTTAAATCTGGATATAATTAATTGTTTGAGTAAAACCCTGCTGGTTGATTTTACAGTGTTTTAAAAAGCTCACGTCAGCATGGTATTGAAAAGGTATTTACAAAAGGCAGTCTTACTATGACACCAGGCAAGATCAAATCAAATCTGTTTGGTTTTGGGTTTTTTTTTGTTTTTTTTGTTTTGTTTTGTGGGGGGCGTTTTCTTTCTCATATCGGGAATCGAACTGAGGACCTTGCGCTTGCCAGGCAGGTGCTGTGCCGCTGAACTATATCCCCGGCCCTGTTGCATGTTTTTGAGACAGGCTCTCACTGTGTAGTTTAGACTGGCCTTGAGCTCACTGTGTAGCCCTTACTACCCTTGAATTCACAGCGATCCTCCTGCCTCAGCTTTCTGAGTACTGGGATCGTAGGCCTGCACCACCCTGTCTGGCTGGTTTTTCAAAGAGCAAGCTAGTATTTCTTGGCAAACCATTCGTCCCCATTCTTCGTTCAAGTGGCTCGACAGAGGCTGACTCCTCACCATGCCCAGCGGTGCGCGCCAGCCCTAGACCCAGGAGGCAGCCTCTTCTCCACCGCCGTTGCTGCATGCATTCTGGCATCTCCGCCAGCCTGATCTCCCCTCCCCCTTTCCCCAGCTCCCCCCACAGCCTCGGAATACATGGTGTCAATATCTCTTAGCCGTCACCGCGTAAATGTCACAGAACAGCAAGTAACCACCTACCTTAAGAACAGACTCGGTGACACCCCAGGAGAAGCCGCAGGGAAACTGACCCTGCATATCGGGTGTGGCCTCTTTTAAAGGAAAACCATTTTCTTGGATGATCTGTTTATAGTACCGTGCTGAGGACTTGGGTTTCCTTTCTTTCTGTTTACTGTTGAAATCCACATAGAACAGCCCTCGGCGGGTGCTGTAAGCATCCTGCCACTCAAAGCCGTCCAGGAGAGACCAGGCGGTGTAACCGAACACTTGCACTTCATCAGACCTTACGGCTGTGGAGAGAAGAAAGCAGATGTGCTCTCAGAAGAAAGCTGTGCACCCTTGCTCATGTTTGCCGTTCAGGGACACGCCAGGAGACAGCATCTGGGAAACCAGCCTCCTTCCTGCTTTGCAGGACTCTTAAGAGAAAATGCATGTTTATACCTCAAAAATGGCAGTTATTCCTATCCAGAAGGATACTCCCTCCCCTAACACACACCACCATCCACAACTGCAGGGCGTGGTGGCTCACATCTGTAATCCCAGTACTCAGGAGGCTGAGGCACGAAGATCACCGCAAGTTCAAGGCCAGCCTGGGCTACATAGCGAGTTTAAGACCAGCCTGGACTGCAATAGTGAGACCCTGTCTCAAAAAAAAAAAAAAAAGCCGAAACCGGAAAACATCCCTGAGGCTGTAGCTCAGTTGTACAGCATTCGCCTAGTGAGGCGAGGCCCTTGGTTTCATCCCCAGCACTGCAAAAAGATTAATGGAGGAAATAAATAAATAAAAAATATTCCACAAAAAATAATATAAACAGTAAAAATATTTTTGAGATTTAATGTGAAAATCCACGTCGCGGGGATGATAATTTCTAGAACCTTTTGGACCAATACAGAGGTCTGCTAGTGACCAGGAGTTTCTCCTTTCAAGTTTGAGTAGCTCCCCATTTCTCTCCATTCTATGAACCGACCCTCCAGGAACTAAAAGAAAATCAGCACTTAGAATTAACATGAGTGAAACGCTGGGCATGGTGTCACATGCCTGTAATCCCAGTACTCAGGAGGCTGAGGCAGGAGGATCTCTGCGGATCAAGACCAGCCTGGGGCTACAGAGTAAGCTCAAGGCCAGTCTGAACTGCATAGAGAGGCCATGTCTCAAAAAGACAAAAAAAAAAAAAGGATTAACATGAACAAATATAAGGCTAGAAGGCGGCAAAAGAGGCAAAGTGATGTAAGAAAATCGAAGTAGCAGGAGCCCAGGCCTCGCCCTCCTGTGTTCCAGGAAAGATGTCAGAGCCATGGCTTTAGCCTGTTTGCTCATCTGTAAATAGAAAATACTGGACAAAAATGATCTTTCAGTACTGTTTCAGCTTTAAAACTCTCAATAACGTGTAAAAACTGGGTAAAAATTAGTCCTTAGATTTTTTTTTTTTCCCTGTCTTTTTCAGACAGGGTTTTACTGTGTGGTTCACACTGACCTTGAACTCACTTTGTAGCCCAGGCTAGTTTTGAACTCGAAATGATCCTCCTGCCTCAGCCTGCCGTGTGCTGGGATTACAGGCATGCGCCACCAAGCCCGGCCTCGGATCATCTTTCTTTTTTTTTTCTTGTTTTTTTTTTCCAGTACCAGGAATCGAACTCATGACCTCACACTTGCCAGGCAGGTGCTGTGCCGCTGAGCTAAATCCTCAACCCGTAAATAGCTTTTTTTTTGTACCGGGGATTGAACTCACGACCTTGCGCTTGCCGGGCAGGTGCTGTGCCACTGAGCTAAAGCCCTTCTTAAAAGCTTTCATTTCTCCTAGAAATGCCTCGATTCTATACACTTCGGGGGATTTATTGCTGACAGTCCTTTCCTAAAAGATGGAGAATCCTTGGGAGAGATTGCCCTGGGTCAGTGTGCTGCATCCCGCGGCTCCAGCCCCTAGGTCGTGCGGGCCAGGGCGGTGGAGGGGCGCGCCTGCGGGGCGCACGGCCCTGACCCAGGCCCGCGGTGATGCCTGCGCTCCTAGGCGCCCAACCGTGCGCAGGCGGCCCAAGGCGGGGTGGCCCTGTCCCAGGCTGATCCTGCTTAGAACTGGGGCTGGGTCTTGCTCTCCTGCAGAAGCAGGAGTGTCCTTTAGACTTGGGACCCTCCAGGGAGCTACAGTCTGGGAAGATCCCAGGGAATTCCTCCGCACTCTACAGGGCTCCACTGTTCCCAGCAGCCACCTGCAGGGGCCACTGCCTGGGGGGAGGAAAAGGAATGAGGTGGAGAAAGGCAGCGATGGGAAGAAATCTTTGCGAGCAATAGGAAGGACTGGGCTCTGCTTTAGGGCTTTCTTCACTCAGTCATGGTACCGACTAAAAGGATCAGAATTTCAAGAAGCATTTTAAAGTACTCATGATAGGGAACTTTAAACATGTGTACGCGTGCGCGTGTGCGCGAGTGTGTGTGTGTGTGTGTGTGTGTGTGTGTGTGTGTGTGTGTGTTGCTGGGGACAGAACCCAGGGCATTCACTGAACTACAGCCCCATCCCTTTTTTACTTTTTATCTTTTTTTTTTTTTTTTTTTTTTCTGGTACTGGGAATATTTTTTTTCTTGAGACAAGGTCTTGTTAAATCACCAAATCGCCCAGGCTGGCCTCCAATTTGTGATCCTCCTGCCTCAGCCTTCCAGAGCGCTGGGATTACAGGTTTGGGATACCATGCCCGGCTCCAAGGTAATTTTCTTTCTTTCTTTCTTTCTTTCTTTTTTTTTTTTTAGATTTCACTATGCAGTTCAGGCTGGCCTTGCACTCACTTTGTAGCCCAGGCTGGCTTCAAACACCCAACGATCCTCCTGCCTCAGCCTCCCAAGGTAACTTTCAATAGCCATGAAGACTGCATCTTCCCTTTCTAAGCGAGCTCATGCCCAACCGACCTTGCAGAACCTGGTTGAGGAAGTTCTTCATCATGTAGATGGCCGTGGTGTCTTCCGTGGTCACGTGGCTGTCTGTGAACCAGCCGTTCTCGGCAATCAGGATTCGGGGGTTGCCGTACTCCAGCTTGATCCAGTTCAGCACTTGTCGCAAGCTGAGCGACACATTCTGCCCCATCTTAGGCACGGTGCTCGGGGGCTTGAAGTTGTTGGGGCCGAAAGAGAGGGCGAAGAAGTCGGCCGTGCCCCTCACCTGCTGCTGCTCGGCGGCCGAGAAGCGCG